AAGGTAAGAGTGATATTGAATTACTACTGTTCACTTTTAACAGGAAGCGGATGCTGCAGTACAAAGTATTGATAATGGAATGAAAACATTAAACAGCGGATTCACTGACTAGAGTTCGGATCTCTTCTCACACTAGCAGGGATAAGAGATTTACCTGACCCGACTACCCGTCACGGTGTAGCATATTTCTGCTACCAGTGTAACATATTTAAACGTGACGGCTATTTCTGACAGGTTCGATCAACATTTCTAATGAGGTAAGTAAAAAATACATTCGATAAGATAAAATAAAATCTCCGTTCTGCTAAAACTAAAAGTAAGGTGCATTGATTATCTTATCATTATTATGACTCATATATGACATATATTACATATATAATATATAACTAATAATAAACTATATTGAATATTAAAAGTAGTTTGCAGTTTTATATTTAAATAACACATTACTATAATGAATTCTGAGTTACCATAATTATAATCATAATAATACTATATATGCCAGATGTATAGAGTGAGCAGGTATTTTCCCCTCAGAAAACAGTAGGTGACTATTCGATTTTTTTTTAAAACTGTGCTTTAAAACTGCTGTTAGCTTTAAAAAAAAAACGGAAATTATCTCAGGACATTCATCTTTACCATGGGGAAGTAGCTTGCATCTTTGCATGCTGTTGAAATCTAAAAACACTGAACACATCATTCACAGTTATATATGTTGCCAGCTGTGGTGTAGGTTCCAGGTCCACCTTTTTAGGGGAAATTAGAATAGACTAACCCCCAACCACCCTAGCCTATCAAACATGTCAACTAATTAGTTTTCTGAAATCAGATGTGTGTCAAAAGGGATACATATCGCAGCCTAGCTGAAAACCACAGCACAATGTGCTGATTGCTTTTTTAAGGGTGAACACATGTGGAGAAGAAGAAAACTCACATGTTATTATAAAGACTTGTTCTAACATCTCTGATTCTGGTTCACAATCATTTGGAATCTTGCTTGTTCTGAGATTCTATTTGTGCAGTGCTCAGAACCCTGGTGCATGATCAGAACCTTGGTGCATGATCAGAACCTCAGTGCATGATCAGAACCTCAGTGCATGATCTTTAACCCCAGTGCATGATCAGAACCCCGGTGCATGATCAGAACCTCAGTGCATGATCTTTAACCCCAGTGCATGATCAGAACCTTAGTGCATGATCAGAACCTCAGTACATGATCTTTAACCTCAGTGCATGATCAGAACCCCAGTGCACGATCTTTAACCCCAGTACATGATCAGAACCTCGGTGCATGATCAGAACCTCAGTGCATGATCTTTAACCCCAGTACATGATCAGAACCTCGGTGCATGATCAGAACCTCAGTGCATGATCAGAACCTCAGTGCACGATCTTTAACCCCAGTACATGATCAGAATCTCGGTGCATGATCAGAACCCCAGTGCATGATCTTTAACCCCAGTACATGATCAGAACCCCAGTGCATGATCTTTAACCTCAGTGCATGATCAGAACCCCAGTGCATGATCTTTAACCTCAGTGCATGATCTTTAACCTTAGTGCATGATCTTTAACCTCAGTGCATGATCTTTAACCTCAGTGCATGATCTTTAACCCCAGTGCATGATCTTTAACCTCAGTGCATGATCTTTAACCTCAGTGCATGATCAGAACCCCAGTGCATGATCTTTAACCTCAGTGCATGATCAGAACCCCAGTGCATGATCTTTAACCCCAGTGCATGATCAGAACCTCAGTGCATGATCTTTAACCTCAGTGCATGATCAGAACCTCAGTGCATGATCAGAACCCCAGTGCATGATCTTTAACCCCAGTGCATGATCTTTAACCCCAGTACATGATCAGAACCCCAGTGCATGATCTTTAACCTCAGTGCATGATCAGAACCCCAGTGCATGATCTTTAACCTCAGTGCATGATCAGAACCCCAGTGCATGATCTTTAACCTCAGTGCATGATCAGAACCCCAGTACATGATCAGAACCCCAGTGCATGATCTTTAACCCCAGTACATGATCAGAACCTCAGTGCATGACCAGAACCCCAGTGCATGATCTTTAACCTCAGTACATGATCAGAACCTCAGTGCATGATCAGAACCCCAGTACATGATCAGAACCCCAGTGCATGATCTTTAACCTCATTGCATGATCTTTAACCCCAGTACATGATCAGAACCTCAGTGCATGATCAGAACCCCAGTGCATGATCAGAACCTCAGTACATAATCAGAACCTCAATGTGTTATCTTTAACCTCAGTGCATGACCAGAACCCCAGTGCATGACCAGAACCCCAGTGCATGACCGGAAACCCAATGCATTATCAGAACCTCAGTTTGTGATCAGAACCCCAGTGCTTGTCAGAACACCAGTGCATGATTGTTAGCCATGGTGCATGATCAGAATACCAGTGCATTATATTAAACCTCAGTACATAATCAGAGCCTCAATGCTTGTAGAAACCTCAGTAAATGATCATAACCTTGGTGCACGTTTAGACTTCAGTGTGTGATCTTTAACTTTAATGCATGATTTTTAACCCCAGTGTATGATCTGCGAGAGAAGACAGAACACTTATGTGCAGTAAAGATCACCTTTATTAGGGTAACCATAATATCTTTAGCTGAAAAACAGGACGTCCAAAGCAAGTTAGTTATACTCCCCCTCCCCACTTCATTTTCTAGGTCACCAGGGTGAAAGGGTTAATTACTCGCTAGACAGTGGTAATAAAACACGATGGGTTGTCCCCAAGAAATAAATTGCAAACAATTGCACTGAAACAAACCTGCTATAATGAAAATTGCAGTGACACATCCAGGCATTAATGGTATATAAAATTGACATCTAAAAAAGTCTGCAGAAATAACTATAAGGGTATGTTTTGTTCTCTAGCTAATTTCTAGATCTGTATAAAATGGGACAGTTTGTGCTTTACTGGAGTACCAACAGGGCACACCTAAAAAAATGAGATTGACCCAGGGACTGAGCGGTCTTAAGCCCGGGTTTAAGCCCTGGTGAAAGCTGAGATTTTAGTGTGGACTTCCAGTAATTTCTCCTGGTCTCTGGGTAGTAAGATCGGACTCCCATGTTTATTGTTGCGCACATTAAAAATAAATCCCTTGGCAGTTGGTGTAATAGAGTGGGTCATAGCTTGTTTGTTAGTAGGCATAAAGCTAGGATATAAGGAAATCAACAAGTTTTGGCAGCCTTGACATTCCCTTTTCCAGAAACTTCTTTTCTCGCCAAAACAAGCTATTGACATCAAACTGATGTTGTCTGGCCTTGGCCTTCTTTCTAGAAGTTTTGAAATGCATTCTTTTCATCATGTGACCCAACCTTGTCGTGCCCTATCAAAGCAAATGCAGTTGTCCTTGTTTTTTCTAGATTGTCAGTTTAACTACTATATCTGCGTAGAATAGGATGATGAAATCTGATGCAATCGAGATATAATTAGCAAATCCCACGTGAGAACCTATCTAGTAAACAAGTTGAGGCGTACTAGAATATTCTAGAAGCAGACATAGCGAGTAACAAAGCACTTTAGAATTCTTCAGTCCACAAGACTCGAGAGAGAGGAGAGGCCAGTCACATGGGCTCTCAAGACAGCCTTCATTTGTGAAGATGCCAACTCAACACTAGAAGAACTAGCAGCCAGTCTTTGGAGCCTCGAAGACATTCGCTACAGAAGAGACATGAAATGAGACAACAAACTACAGAGACAACACACACTATACATGGATCCATGGTCAACAGAGACATATTAGGAACACTGTAGAGATGTTAGAGTCGACGATCAAGACGTTAGTACCAAACAGCACTAGAAGCCAGGTGGCAGTTAGGGACACTAGAACTAGTTAACAAAGTAACTAGAGATGAAAAACACAACGCGAATTTAAGAGTATGTAACCATAGGGAGAACACAGCGCTATTCAAAATATTATTGATATTGTTCGTGTCATTGCCGAAGTGTCACAATAAAGACTACAGACAAGAACAGTTGTTTCCAGACGTTTTGTTATACAAGCATCAGAGTCACGTGAGAAGCATGCAGCTAGCAAGACATCATCATCATCACCACTATTGACACGACCATCTTTCTCCACTTGTCTACAATCTTCCAATCGACTCCTCCTGTAGCAAACCTAAAGACGAACCTGGGTGTGACATCAACATACGTAACAAAGAAGAGAGATGTGCTACATTGGAAATCAAATAGAGCAGCCTAACAGTAGTGGCCGGGCAGAATTTGAAGTTAAAAATCTACCCATTGAATTTCAGAATCCTTGCCGGTGCTACAGAGTTCCGTGCTCTGCGCTGAGATTCTTTGGACTCAGGCTTGAGTTAAAAGTAAAACAGAGCACATATGGGTTACTACCCTTGTGCCGTGATGTTGATCCATTGTATAAACCAAACCAAGACTGACCTGGTAAAAAACAGGACATATGGTCACTCTATCCTTTACACACCAACCAAAGCAGTCAGACAAAAATGCCAACTTGTTAACTCTTTCAGTTCTGGGTAAGTGTTATGTTAGCTGATTTTATTTGAAGCAGTTCTTACTGTACACATGGGAATGTTTGAATCTGTCAGACAGTTGCCAGCTCCTGCATCTTCTTCTAAGCCCTTTCCATCCATATTGTTCATCCTCTGTCTCCGACTCTCTTCTCATTTTGTTTGTAGGTCTCCCATTTATCTGTTTTGCCATGTGGGTTCCCCCCAAAATAAGTTAATTTTTTAAAATGCTATTATCAAATTCTCCATCACCACACCTTTCTGTGGCTCTGAGTTGGGAATATTTTTTTAAACAATGTAAAAGGAATATACCCATTTAAGTTAACCCCCCCCCCCACACACACACACACACTCTCTCTCTCTCTCTCTCTCTCTCTCTCTCTCTCTCTCTCTCTCTCTCTTAGATAACCAAACTCTTTGATTCTAAAATTGTATTTTTGTTTTTTAAATTCCAACTCAAGAACAAATGTTGATTTCACATTTGTCGCTGAGGCTTGAGATTGCTGAAGAGATACCAGAGCTGAAATATTTGCGGCCATATGTTGGTAAGTTTTGCTTACACCATTGTCTTACTTTGGTAAGTTTTACTTGATTTCTATCAAACCTGCTGTCATATGTTGGTCTTCTTATTCTTAGAGTTCACCCGCTGTATACTTCGGCAGAAAGTTCTGTTGGTGTGTCCACTTCTGGATTGCAGTCTTCTACCTGAATTTGTGTTTTGCATGTGCATCTGTTTTACAAATCTGTAGTATGCAGACTGTTGGTTACTTTCCTCTCAGGCAGATGCACTACAACTTCAAAGGAAACATACTTTATTAGTCACCTGTTACAACATGCTTGTTAGGAGGCCGAGGGTCTGTTCTTTTTGCCCCCAAAATGGGGTCCCGGAACCCACACAGGGAGTAAACTTCCTAATCTGTAATTACACCATTGACAGGTATGACGGATGCCATTGGAATTGGAACTCTTCGCTAGCTGCTGAAGATAGGGGAATGGAGCACTTATTAGGGTGTCCCGAGTTCATGATGTCAATTCTTAATTCAACGACATTCAACATGATTGAAGATCTAGGCTCCACTGGGGGATAAACGTCAGAAGATGAAGAAGTTTTTACATATTTCACTCAGATCAGTAAAACATGGACCCATACAGATGCATAGCCTTCAGAATTGTCTTCACTTTATAATGGCTTTGATAATTTAGGTAGGTGTGATCCATAGGCAGGCCATCTGCAACTATGACAGTGTCAGCCAGTCTATCTGCTCTTTCATTGTGGACAACTAGATATCAATCTCTTTTCATTGTGAGTGGCTTCCTTAGTTCTCATTCTTGCAGTCTCTGTTTTCTTCTACGTTTAGTATCTTTGTGCACTTGAAGTCTCTCACAGAGTTCTTCCTTGTTTTTCATCTCACTCATACCAGGTTGTAGTCCAGCGTTATGGTTTTCTGTTTGTCTCACTGTTACCAGGTTGTAGTCCAGTGTTATGGTTTTCTGTTTGTCTCACTGATACCAGGTTGTAGTCCAGTGTTATGGTTTTCTGTTCACCTCACTGATACCAGGTTGTAGACCAGTGTTATGGTTTTCTGTTCACCTCACTGATACCAGGTTGTAGACCAGTGTTATGGTTTTCTGTTCATCTCACTGATACCAGGTTGTAGTCCAGTGTTATGGTTTTCTGTTCGTCTCACTACCAGGTTGTAGTCCAGTGTTATGGTTTTCTGTTCGTCTTACTGATACCAGGCTGTAGTCCAGTGTTGGGGTTTTCTGTTCGTCTCACTGATACCAGGTTGTAGTCCAGTGTTATGGTTTTCTGTTTGTCTCACTGATACCAGGTTGTAGTCCAGCGTTATGGTTTTCTGTTTGTCTCACTGATACCGGGCTGTAGTCCAGTGTTGGGGTTTTCTGTTCGTCTCACTGATACCAGGCTGTAGTCCAGTGTTGGGGTTTTCTGCATTTGTCTTGCACTTCATTTATCAGGTGGCTTGGCTGAAGGATTTGTTTATCTTTTGGTGTTTTAAACTACTCCATTTATATATTATGTTATAGATATAGATTTTTCTTAGTCTTCCCCTTGCCTGCCTCCCAGATGTTCCGCTGTAACAATAAATCTCATATGCAGTTTGGTCTGGCAGCATTCTCACTAGATGGTTGGATCATTAAATTCTTTGCCTGTCGTTATAATTCAGACACTAATTTATTTCAGCTTTCTCTCTAATGCTGGTATTCGTAGCACTGTCTCTTCTTGGCAAGAGTTTTAAATAATTATTTTATATTTGTAAAATTTATGCAGCAATAGCTGTTTAATATATTTCAATTCTCATTTTCTTTTAGCCAAGATTTTGGAAGGTCGCCAATCGAGTGTAACAAAGTCCTACGCTTCTGTGGCCAGGGGCTCAACATCCCAGCGTGAGGTCAAAGTCTCACGCTCTTCTTCTTTTAAAGAACTGGGAAGGGGGGAGAAGTATCAGCCACACAGAGAGAGAGTCTTAAGTCTTGGTGAGACACAGTCTCACAGCTTCCATCAGGCAGACCATTTAGAATCAGACACTAGACAGAAAGAGGTGTTAGCTAGTCTAGCGTGCAGAGGTCGGCGTGAGTTCAAGGATATTCACATAGAGCTTATTGATGAACAGGGTAAGTTGTGGCTATTTCTAGAATTAGGTTTAGTTATTTATATCTTGTTTTTATAGACATGATTTGGTTTGATTTGTTTCAAGAACCGACATCACAGCACTCAGGGCATTCCCATAAGCATTCCGTTCCCATCTTAAGCAGCCGGTGAAGAGTTTCGATACTAATGGTGCCAGTAGCATTCTGATTAAACGTCCGTCTTGCCTTTCCTCTGAACCTTGAGCATCTGCCAGAACCTCTCGTCACTCCCCGCTGCATCTATCTTACCAGGCTGTGGTGGTCTGTCTGCTTCTCCGAACTGTATACGCTCTCCCACAAGGCACTAACCATGTCTGCCTTATCATGTATCAGTATTCCACCAAGTTGTGCAGAGCCAGCCAGTCTGTCCGTCTGTTCATTTCCCAACACACCGGCGTCCCCCGGTGAAAAAATCTACAATACTCCTCACCCGTGTCCTCCGCAGCGAAGCATGCCTGTTCTGATCTGTTTATAGTGTTTATAGACATGATTGTTTACAGCTGTTAACTGTGATGTTCATACTGCAACGTCCTGTAAAGGTTACACAGCTAAGTATAAAAGTAAATTTGACGGGTACTATAGCATGCTGAATATTTTGTAATAAATATTCTATTATTTATGTGTTGAGAGAGTGTGGACAAGAGACATATTTATCGGATACATGCGGATGCTGATGGCACAGAAGAACAAGCCACAGTTTATTGTTGTTGAAAGTTTTACTATGGAAGCACTTATCTCTTATTCGAGAGACCCAGGTTCAAATCCTGTTATTTGATTTTCTAGCGGGTAGTGACGAATGGTTCTGGTCGATGCTCGACGACAAGAGGAAAGGCAAGACGGAGGTATAATCAGAATGCTACTGGCACCATCAGTAATGGAACTCTGCGCTGGCTGCTGAAGATAGGGATGGAGTGCTTATGGAAATGCTGCAAGTGCTGTAATGTCTGTTCTTGAATCAATTCAACTCAACCTTTCCTCCAAAAAAGAACTGTCTACTATCTAATCTTTCAGGCCCAACTCCTTTCAAGATCCCCTACCATTGTCCACCGCAGTAAATGGTTCATACAGGCAGCAACAGTTAAGGACCCTGCTCTCCATCTTCAGGTGTATTAGGCAGGTATGGCTAGACCTCTATTTTATAGACCATTTGGCACTTGGTAGGTGATGTCATTGACATCATGCCAGCTGCCTTTACTTCCCTGAACTTTGCTTGGTACCTGTTTAAGGCTGGTTGATCTGGAAGCCTAGTTCATTTTTTGTTTGCACAAAAAAGTCCAGCTCTTTCGGGACCTGAACCTACGACCTTTAGATCCGCAGGCGAGCATCTAGCCAGTACACCACAGTGGCTCCCAGCAGTAAAAACAGTTAAGGACAGAATATCATCTTTCTTATAATATTTTTCTCACATTTACCTCTTCCCCAGCTTTAAGAAAACTGCTAATGGCATCCAGTTCAGAAAAACAGTTCCATATGAGGCAAGGGGAGGAACCCTCAACGAGCCAGGCTGGCTACCATTCCAGTATCCAGCAGGAGCAGTATTCAGGGGTAAATAATGGTTAACCTTCGCCTCGTAAAAGTTGTGTTTAAAAAAGAAAATTTTTTTTAAACACAAACACAAAAACAACTCATCGTTATCTTCTTCACGTTTACCAGCTGTAAGTTTCAGCAGAAAGTTTTGGTTGTTCGGCCACTTCTGGACTCTCAGGCAGATGCACTCTGACTTCGAAGGAAGCTCTAAATTAGTTGACTCTTATGACATGCTTCTGGGTAGGAAGCAACTTAAAAGTAGTTCTACTCTTGTTTTCCCCCAACAGGACCCCAGATCCCACAAGGATAACTCATCATTATAATTCCCTTAAACTTCCCTAAGAAACGGGAGGAGAAGAAAAAAGAAACAGAAGAAATTTTAAGCCTTGGTCAGGTTTTATTTTAAAAAAATTTGTCAGATGTTGTGTGTGTTCAGTCCTGCTATATGGTGCAGAAGCTTGGACACTGAACAGTCAACTAGAAAATCGAATCAAGTCCCTGGAAATGTGGATATACAGAAGAATAGGTCGCATTTCATGGAAACAAAAACAGTCCTATACAGAGGTTCTGGAAAAGCTACAAAAGAAAAGAAAATTACTGAAAGAAGTTTAAAAAAAAAAAAAGAGAGACAATCAAAATACATTGGCCACATTAAAAGACATAACACACTTTTAGAAACCATACTGGAGGTAGAGGTTAAAGGCAAGAGAGTAGTAGGTAAGCAACGATACAAGTGGGAGGACAACATCAAGAGATGGACAGGCATCAGTCTGAGAGTGTGCAACCAGTACACGAGACAGCATGTTGGAGATTCATTGCAACAAACCTTCACAGTAGAGACTGCACCTGATTGATAAAAATTCAGAGGAATGAAACCTATGACCTCTGAGCAGACAGGCAAGCCTGCTGGCTTTTGAGTCACTGTGGCCTCTACGTCACTAAATATAGTGAATTTGTCATATTAATAATCATGATTTTGACCAAGGGAATTTTTTTTTTTTTAATTATGTGAAGGACAGTAATCACTAAATACAAATGGTACAAAAAAATAATTTATTTGCGACCTTTTGACTAAGACACCCCGAGTTTTGTTGACACAGCCACAAAGAGCAAAATGACATCATCATAATTTTTTGATGATTTTACAGTGGCCCCCTTTCCCCCTCCTGACCACAAAAATAAAATTTGCAAATTTCCACCGTAATTAATATATTTGTGTGTGACCATAATCACGCCCACAACAAGTAAACATTGTAGTTGCAGCCAGTACCTTACGTAGGTTTCCATAGTGTAGTGTTTATCACATCCGCCTAACACACGGAAGGTCCTGAGTTCAAGCCCCAGCGGAAACAATTTTTCTAGTTGCAGCCAGTACCTGAGCTGCTATATAGGTATATTGGGCACTGCACTAAGACATCATGTCTTCAAAAAAACCTTATTTAAATAGGAAAACCGGCTTTCTTGACAGGGTTAAAGTTGAATGGGTTCTCTTTATTCCACTGATTATTATCCCATGTGGCTTGGCCTCTGTCTGCAGAACGGTTGGCAGCCTGCTGAGAGTAGAGCACAAAGCATGCATTCTGTAGCTCCAGTGATGATCCCCAAGGAAATCCATAAACACTAACATTTGTGAACCAAATGATGCGGTCCATAAAATGAACCCATAGCCTTCAGAGTGCCAGGCAAACGGGTTAACTACTGAACTGTGAAGACCCCTGTAAAGGGGTAGATCAAATAAATAGGCAAAAATTACATATATATATAGGGGTAAATTGCAAACTTGCTTTGTGTTTAATTTAATGGCCAAGATTAAATGGTCAGTAACGGGGAACAATGAATGTGTAGGGTGGCACCTGGTGTAAGAACATCTTCCCGAATACTGCTAAGGTTATGTTATCCACAGTGTCCAGTGGGATTGCCGGACATACCTACCATTACTCAATCTAAATATGGCAGAATATGTTTCAGGTAATGATGACATTTTTAAACAAGTAACTTCCGTGAAAATGTTTATGCATTTCAGTGTTGGGCGATTATTATGTATACTTTTTTTGGGGGGTCTGCCTCTGTATTTAAACAAAAAAGTACAACTAATGAAGGAATAATCAGCTTCAAAAATTAAACAAATACATACAGCCCAAAGGAAGATAATTTATAAACATATGTAAATGAATTTAAAAGAAAATTTTTTAACATAAAAATGCTCAGATCTTCGTTAAATCTCTTCAGGAGCCAGGTGATCACAAGCTTCATGAGGCACCATCTAATCTTGATGGACGGCCATCTGCATCTCAGGCAGTGTCAGCCAATCACATCTCAACAGTTCGACTGAAGAGTCATAGCCCGACTTTGAAAGCTCCAACCACCATCAGCTTCTACAGCGGGAACCCCTGTGTTGAGCTGACTAAAGGCCTGCTTCATATCTACAAAGACAGGTCAGGTTTTTATGTTTGCCACAATATTTGACCAGGTTTTTTTCCCCCCAAGTTTAAGCCATGAAATAAAATTCAGGTGTAGAATGGATCAGAGTTTCTGCACTCTTGTGTGACTTGAAAAATGACATGATTAAGTCCAGTTATAATTATTAAGTAATAAACCAAGAAAGAGGAGTTGGTGGGCAAGAGGGCAGATTGCCCATCTCACACATTGTGGGAATTGTGTTCAAGTTGGCAGTGTTTATCATCATCATCGTCCCATAACACTACCTGTCGTTGGGTCACCAGTTTCTGTTGTCTGTCTGATTATCTCTCTCCACCTTTGGCACTCAGTTGCGATGGACTTCATGGTTGCATGCCTGAGACCTGTCAGTCCGGTTCTGGAACCAGGTCTTTCTTGGGCTGCCTCTTCTCCTTTTTCCCTCTACTAAGCCTTACCCTCACTGTAGTTAAAAGAGGTTCATAGTTGCCAGCGTGCTGTATAATTTTATGGCGAACCTCTTCATTTGCAATGTGGTCTCTGTATGATATGCCACGAATTTTTCTGAAACCTTGCATTTCTAATGCTTGTATCTTTCTGTCAAGTTCAGCTGTTAAGGTCCACGTTTTCTTGGCATAGTTTCATTAGCATTTTTGTATTTTACTGTGTTTGTTTCCAAATGACACAACCTTTTCTTTTGTTTGTCCTGATCTCCAAAGTCTCAGTTCCACTTTCTACTTGCTTGTCAGTGTCCAGGTTTCTGCACCATGTATGCCTGTAGTGTATATATAACATTTGCTTTTCTGGTCAAAATGGACATTAGGAAGGTCACTGTTTTAAGTCTTGGCAAATTTTTGCTTCTGCATTTTCCTCCATTTGTAGACTGAAAGAATATAGTTTTATCACCCAGTTACTGAGTTGAGTGCATGGCACAGTACTGTGAGCTGTGGATTTCAGTTGAAATATTTTTTGACGGTGACCAACTTGAATTATGTTGTGAACTGTAAATTCAGAAAATGGCGTTGTTGCTTGCCACAGGATTGCTGGTGCCTTATGTCAGCGGTTCTCACAACTTGTTTCACCCCGACACCATTTTGGGCTAAAAACAATTTGTTGCACAGCAACCTATAAAGCGGTTTGAACACTTAGGAAAAGTAAAAGAAAAAAACTGCAAATTTAATGTTCAGTTTTCTTTAATGGGATGAATAAAACTGTTTGGCTCAATTTTTCATTATTTACTTTATATTTTTGGAAGTTTAGTTAATTTTACCCTTATATCACTTGAGCCAGAAAGTTCACTCCTGTATATGTTTTTTATATAAGCTTATAATGCGTGTGTATGCCAGTGGATATGCAGAGACAGCAGCCTGTGTCAGTTTGTCCACAAGAGACAGTGATGGACATTCTGGGTGTTTTTTGTTGTTGTTAGCACTGGAGCAGAGCTACTATGGGGTGACCCGTTTACTGTGAAGAGCTGAAACTGTGATTACCAGATGTAACATTTGACAGTTCTCATTTTTAAAGTGTGGTTTATGTTGCACATATTTATGTAGCAACATAGAAAAGCTTTGATGATGTTTTATCTAAATGTTTTATCTAAATGTTTGTCTAAATGTTTGGTTAAATGTTTGGCTAAATGTTTGTCTAAATGTTTGTCTAAATGTTTGTCTAAATGTTTGTCTAAATGTTTGGCTAAATGTTTGTCTAAATGTTCGTCTAAATGTTTGTCTAAACAGCCAGATGACAACACTGGAGAAGGATGTGGCTCGCAGTGAGATGCTGTGTATGCTGGGTGTTCCTGCCTCGTACACTGTTCATGACTTGATCAAGTTCATCGCACCCATGGGGTATGTGCGTGCGTGTGTGTGAGAGAGACACACACATTAGACACACACACACACATTAGACACACACACACACATTAGACACACACAAACACATCACACACACTAGACACACACACTTTAGACACACACACACACACATTAGACACATACACACACATTAAACACACACACACACATTAGACACACACACACACACACATTAGACACACACACACACATTAGACACAAACACACACATTAGACACACACACACACATTAGACACATACACACACATTAGACACATACACACACATTAGACACACACACACACATATTAGACACACACACACATTAGACACACACACACACATTAGACACACACACACACATTAGACACACACACACACATTAGACACATACACACACATTAGACACACACATTAGACACACACACACACATATTAGACACACACACATATGCATATGTTTGTGCGCTTTTGTGTGTGTATTTTAAATATTTCATTAACTCATTGGGTACCAAACTTCTTCTTCTTCTTAGTGTTCATGAGCTGTATGTAAACTCCAACAGAAAATTCTGGTTGTTGGTCAACTCCTGGACTTTCGTCTTGTTCCAGAGCTTGAGATTTGCATGCACACCTGTATTACAGAGGCAAGGAACCAACAGTCTGCTTACAAATAAGCCAGATCTGTAAAACGATTATACATGCAAAACACAAGTTCTGGAATGAGACTGAATTTCAGAAGTGGATGAATAATTAAAACTTTCCACTGGACTTTACAGCTAGTAAACATGAACAAGAAGAAGTCACCTCTGCGACATGCTCGTTGGAGGGGAGGAGTGTGAGAATATTCTTTATTCTCCAAAATGGAGTTTGGAACCCACACGGGTTCTCCCAAATGATGTGCTTTTATTTATAAGGGACAGATTTGCACAAAATTGAACAGAAGAGAAACAACACACCAAATCATTGTCATTACCAGAAATAAAAAGGAATTGTGGAGAGAACAAACTAAAAATCCACAAGACCCCATCAGTAGACTCAACAGAAAACAACAACTACCACGTGCATAAAATAAAGACTGTACAGTCCCCACAGTGTGCCTGTCAAACAGGACCACAAACACCTGAGCTCATTTTCCAGACCTGCCCACTCTACCAAAAACTTTGCAAAGAAATGTGGCTTCATAGCAAAGTGTTCAGAGCAAGCTAGGGAGAGTCCTGAACTACCTACAGCTGACATGCAAGTTCATAGAGGAAACTCCCCTGATGGTCTGACCTGAGCGTACGAAACCGAACGCAAAAAAGAAGAATAAGAATTAGGGTCTTCATGAGGAAATGGTCAAGCTGTTTGCCACATGCTGTGAAGGCTGTGGGTTCCTTTCATAGACGTACAGTTCAGTTCTCAAGAGGTTTTTTACTTTAAGTTGTTTACTAACATTTGCTTTAAACTCTTTGTGCTATTTGACCTCTGCATTGCTAAAGCAAATTTCCTGCCAGTTTCTTTTGAACATTGTTTATACTGTTAATTTTTAAGTAATTAAAAAATTTTAAACTTTGTAATAATTTCAATTTTTTCAACGCTAATTGTGTGTGTGTCAGTCTGTATTTCTGTCTGTCTGTGTCTAAATGCACTAAAGAATAGCAGCGATGGACATGGGGCAGGGAATGCTGTTCACACTTTACCAGCACTTAATCATCTCATTGATTGATTATGGATTGGGGTTACACACTGTCTTGAAGAGTCAGTTAGAGGAACTCCTGGGCATACAGAATGAAGCTGTGCGGCTGATCCTGGGATGTAAAAGAGACATTGATTGTGTATATGCGATACATTCTTGCATTGTCAACTGTTGCAGATAGGCTGAAAGTGCTGCAGGCTAAGTGATACCTCAGAGTAGCTGCAGACAGGGAACACCCTCTGTATGAAGCCTTGGCTGCAGGCAAGGGTCAGAAGCTGAAAGGGGGCAAATCGTGGATGGCTCAAGCAGAAGACACAATAAAAAAAGTATGCATGCTGGAGAACATTGGGCAAGGAGAGGAGTGGGTCAGAGCAACAGCGGAAAAGTCTGACCTCTGTAGGGTTATGATCACATTGAGCTGGGTGTGCAGAGAGTGGCCAGCGGATGCTATGGAGGTGGAAGTCCAGCAGTTTATTCACAACAATTCACGCCAAGGTGATCTGATTATCTGTAAAGATTGTTTGGTGACGAGAGGAAAGAGAAGTTCCTAGGGGTTCGTAATGAAAGCCAGTGGAAAATCTTTAGTGCAAGACAGCCTAGTGCATACACATGTCGTAATTGTAACAGACTCTAAAAGTATGCTGAGAAAAGTGAAGACAGGGATGCTTTAAGTAGAGTAGCAAGCTTTACTGGAAAGGTCACGGGTAGTGAGCATACTTTGGATCTTTTCTCCAGGAAATGCCTGCATGGTGGGTAATGAACAGGCAGACAGATTGGCTGGATCTGCAGCACTGGGTGGTGAATTGATACATGACAAGGCAGATGTGGTCAAGGCCCTTTGGGAACAAGCAACCGAATCAGTAGAGAAAGAAGATTATTATGGCCTGGAGAGAATGAGGCACCTGGGTGTAACCAGAGAGTCTGGCCAGCTCACTACACTCAGAGGAAAGGCAAGACGGTCATATAACCTGATTGTGACCGGTACCATCAGTATTGGAACTCTGCGCTGGCGCTGCTGAAGATAAGGACGGAGCATGCATGGGAATGCCCCGAGTGCTGTGATGTAAATTCTTGACTCAACTTAACTCAACTATGTCTGTGCTTGTGTGTCTGTCTGTCTGTGCATGTGCCTGGTTGTGTTTGTCTGTGTGTGTCTGTCTGTCTGTGTGTGTTTTTGTGTCTCTGTGTATGTGTGTCTGTCTGTCTGTGTGTGTATTTTTGTATCTGTGTATGTGTGTCTGTATGTCTTTGTGTGTACATCTGTCTGGGTGTGTGTGTGTGTGTCTGTCTATATGTGCGCGTGTATGGTTTTAATTTTTTTTTAAATTTATTTATAATAAGTGTTACAGAACATCCGTTTCAACCAGTGACACATGAGACATTGTTTGAGTAACTGATTAGAACAGCTAGACGTAGACAGTTTTTGTGTGTGTGTGACTTGTGAGAAGGAATCGGGTCAGGAACCTGGCAACAGCTGTGGAGATTAATGGGAAGAGGGTCAGCGGAAGGCAAAGAGATAAATGTATGGGCTGTGACAAGAACACTAAACTTGATCCACAATTTTGGTGATCATTTGAGATAGATGGCAAAATAAAATGGCCACTGCTTATCATCACTGCACATGTGATTAATTGGGTCCCATTAAGTGTAACCATTTACAAATAGGACTTTGCTTGGGTCAGAGATCCTCTTCTGCCTTTCTAGCTCCCAATGGAGCATAGGACCTCAACCAGCTTATGCCAAGTCATTTTGTCCTTCGCATTACATGGAGCTCTCTCCATGTCCTTCCCATCTTTCTAACTTCATTTTCCAGCGTCCTTCTCCATTAGTTTTTTTTCGGGCCTCCATTTATTCCTATGCCACTGTGGGTTCCAATGCAAAGACATTCTAGCTAAATTGTTCTCCAGTTTTCTCAGTGTGTGCCATATCCAACGCCAGCCTCTTTTCTTCACCTCTTGGTCCACTGGAGCCTGTTTAGTTCTCTTCCAGAGCTCTACATTAGTGATTCTATCATAACATTTAATCCACTCCATTCTGCGCAGGCCCCAGTTAATGAATGTCTGTAGATTACTAGTAATTGCCTTAGTTGTTCTCCATGTTTCCGCCCCATACAAAAGTTCTGATTTGACATTAGAATAAAAAATTTTAATTTTAGTATTAGGTTAGAAAGAGTATCTTGAAAAGTTGAAAAAAAACAACAACTATAAAACAGTGATTGTCAGTGTCCTTAAGAAAAACTCCACCTGATGTCCTGGTCATCTTTTCACAGAGACTGTGTGTCCTACATGCAAGTGTTGAGAGATGCTTTCCCTAACCAGTACATGTTGCTGATTAAATTCAGAGATCAGGTATGTGTAGCCATACATGTGGTAAAATCTGGCCAGTTTTCTCAGTGTATATTTTATAATTATGCTTACACTGAATAGCCCAGATTTTTGCTTCAAGAATTTCCTCGCACTGCATTAACATTACTTTACTGTCCAGATTTAAACATTCTTTTACCAAAGAGCAAATCAAATTTTCTGTAAGTGTAAAGTTACCATCAAAGATGGACCCATGAAAGATAGAAACAGCGAGAAATGGAGAATGAGAAGCAACAACAAAATTCATAATCTGTTTAAATCACCATTCATAACTGGCTTCATGAGAGCTAATAGACTGAAATGGTTGGGGCATATTGAGAGAGTGTCAGATGACAGAAAAGTGAAAACTGTATACACAAGGGAGATGATTGGTCGCGGACCAAGAAAACGATGGGGAGATAATGTCTAGGCAGACCTGTAAACACTTGGTGTCACAATCTGGAAAGAGAAGGCCAGCCAGAGAGACGAATGGAGGCAGGTGGTAAATGCAACAATGAACCTCAAGGGCTCGGAATGCTGATGAAGAAGAAGAAGAAGTAGTAAAGTTACAAAAGTAAACGTAAAATTACAGCTTCTAAAATTGCATTAATTTTCAAATAAATGTTATCATCCCTATCATAAAATTACCATTATGGCCCATGCACAATTCTGTATTATAGACTCGTGGGTGTAAATTTCAGTTTTATTACATTTCCCATCCACCGTGGTGCAGTGGCTAGAAAGTCGCCTGCCAATCGGAAAGTCATAGGTTCCAGACCTACTCCTAGATCGATCCAGCCTTGAATGGGTACCAGGTGGAGTCCAGGAAGGTAAAGGCTGCCAGCATGATGCTGACCACATCACCCACCTAAGGCCCATTGGTCTATAACACCAAAAGAATAAAAAAAATATTGCATGATCGCACACACACACAACATAATAGCAACAAAAGAACACGTTACCTATAAATATAAGTGTTTACTTGATCAGGCTAACAGTGACTACTGTACAGACCAAATTATCCACTTTAAAATTTCACTTAAAATTTAACCTAGATCTAGCCCTATATGCCCAGTATGCTTGAAGGCATGAAGAAGGGTCCTTTACTTAATGTTTCCCATATTTGCTCATTCTAAAAGATTGTCATTGACATGTTTCCATTTTGTTTGTGTTGTAATTCATAGTAACATTTTACATTAATTCTTCTTCTGCATTTATCCAAAGATGTAAATGCACTGTGTCCGTTTACAGCAAGGCTGTGATATTTGCACCTCTCAGCAGACGCATCAGATTTGTGCAGGCATTTGTTGCCTCGGTTAGCTTCCCGGTTGCATTAGTTAGTCTTCAGTATTAGAGAGGTTCAGCTGCTCCTATATGTAGTATTACTTTCTCGTGCTTGCAGACATCAGCTGACGACTTCTACTCATACTTCAACAATCGGCCATTCAACTCCATCGAGCCTGATATCTGTCACCTGGCTTACGTTGCCAAGATCGAAGTCATTAATGAATCTGAGGTTAGTAACGTTATAAAGAAATAAACTAAAAAAAAAATTTTTATTGCATTTAAAGACAGCAAATAAAATGTTTTCCCACCTAGATAAGTATATCAGTATAGTCAAATATACCAGAAGAAGAGAGAAGAAAACCACGGACAAGGCAGAGGTATACCATCAGGGAAAACTTTACAACAGGATCAATCATCGGCTACAATCTCCACAGTTGATGCGGTCATGGTTTCTGTGCTCTCATATGGCCCAGATTTGTTTTCACATCTGCGGCACATTGTTGGTGTTTTTTTGTATTGCAGCACCATAGCGTCCTCCAATCTTTAGAATTCCCTTTTTCGTCAGACAACCCCTCCCACCAATTCCCCGAACACTCTTGCCATTGTGCATAAAGGTCTCCTTCTTCAGCTCATTTACCTTATTAGTAAAGTGTCGCCCCGTTCTCTTCTGCACATGCCCACAACATTCTAGTTTTGCAATATCAGCATCAGTATACACAGGTGGTTCTGCATTTGCATCTGAAGTGTATGGTTTAGCCAAATATACCAGAAGAGGAGAGAAGAAAACTATGGACAAAGCAGAGGAATACCATCAGAGAAAACTTTACATTATCAACTGCCTTATGGTGACCTATACAGATGGCCATATGTTGAGAGGCGGAAGAAGTGTGTGGGGATTCATAATGCAACAAAACCTGGCATATGATATGGCAACATCTAGTTTGAGAATGGAGATGGAGGTGGTCACTGCAGCCTTCCACTGGCTTGAGAACTGGCTGCGCACACATGTCATGACTGTAACTGACTCACACATGTCATGACTGTAACTGACTCACACATGTCGTGACTGTAACTGACTCACACATGTCATGACTGTAACTGACTCACACATGTCATGACTGTAACTGACTCACACATGTCATGACTGTAACTGACTCACACATGTCATGACTGTAACTGACTCACACATATCATGACTGTAACTGACTCACACATGTCGTGACTGTAACTGACTCACACATGTCATGACTGTAACTGACTCACACATGTCATGACTGTAACTGACTCACACATGTCATGACTGTAACTGACTCACACATGTCATGACTGTAACTGACTCACACATATAATGACTGTAACTGACTCACACATGTCATGACTGTAACTGACTCACACATGTCATGACTGTAACTGACTCACATGTCATGACTGTAACTGGCTCACACATGTCGTAACTGTAACTGACTCACACATGTCATGACTGTAACTGACTCACACATGTCATGACTGTAACTGACTCACACATGTCATGACTGTAACTGACTCACACATGTCATGACTGTAACTGACTCACACATGTAGTGACTGTAACTGACTCACACATGTCATGACTGTAACTGACTCACACATGTCATGACTGTAACTGACTCACACATGTCATGACTGTAACTGACTCACACATGTCGTGACTGTAACTGACTCACACATGTCATGACTGTAACTGACTCACTCATGTCATGACTGTAACTGACTCACACATGTCGTGACTGTAACTGACTCACACATGTCATGACTGTAACTGACTCACACATGTCATGACTGTAACTGACTCACACATGTCGTGACTGTAACTGACTCACACATGTCGTGACTGTAACTGACTCACACATGTCATGACTGTAACTGACTCACACATGTCATGACTGTAACTGACTCACACATGTCGTGACTGTAACTGACTCACACATGTCGTGACTGTAACTGACTTACACATGTCATGACTGTAACTGACTCACACATGTCATGACTGTAACTGACTCACACATGTCATGACTGTAACTGACTCACACATGTCATGACTGTAACTGACTCACACATGTCATGACTGTAACTGACTCACACATGTCATGACTGTAACTGACTCACACATGTCATGACTGTAACTGACTCACACATGTCATGACTGTAACTGACTCACACATGTCATGACTGTAACTGACTCACACATGTCATGACTGTAACTGACTCACACATGTCGTGACTGTAACTGACTCACACATGTCATGACTAACTGACTCACACATGTCATGACTGTAACTGACTCACACATGTCGTGACTGTAACTAACTCACACATGTCGTGACTGTAACTGACTCACACATGTCATGACTGTAACTGACTCACACATGTCATGACTGTAACTGACTCACACATGTCGTGACTGTAACTGACTCACACATGTCGTGACTGTGACTGACTCACACATGTCGTGACTGTAACTGACTCACACATGTCGTGACTGTAACTGACTCACACATGTCATGACTGTAACTGACTCACACATGTCATGACTGTATCTGACTCACACATGTCATGACTGTATCTGACTCACACATGTCATGACTGTAACTGACTCACACATGTCATGACTGTAACTGACTCACACATGTCATGACTGTAACTGACTCACACATGTCATGACTGTAACTGACTCACACATGTCATGACTGTAACTGACTCACACATGTCATGACTGTAACTGACTCACACATTTCATGACTGTAACTGACTCACACATGTCATGACTGTGACTGACTCACACATGTCGTGACTGTAACTGACTCACACATGTCGTGACTGTAACTGACTCACACATGTCATGACTGTAACTGACTCACACATGTCATGACTGTAACTGACTCACACATGTCATGACTGTAACTGACTCACACATGCCGTGACTGTAACTGACTCACACATGCCGTGACTGTGACTTACTCACACATGCTGTGACTGTAACTGACTCACACATGCTGTGACTGTAACTGACTCACACATGCTGTGACTGTAACTGACTCACACATGTCATGACTGTAACTGACTCACACATGTCGTGACTGTAACTGACTCACACATGCTGTGACTGTAACTGACTCACACATGTCATGACTGTAACTGACTCACACATGTCATGACTGTAACTGACTCACACATGTCATGACTGTAACTGACTCACACATGTCATGACTGTAACTGACTCACACATGTCATGACTGTAACTGACTCACACATGTCATGACTGTAACTGACTCACACATGTCGTGACTGTAACTGACTCACACATATCGTGACTGTAACTGACTCACACATGTCGTGACTGTAACTGACTCACACATGTCATGACTGTAACTGACTCACACATGTCATGACTGTAACTGACTCACACATGTCGTGACTGTAACTGACTCACACATGTCATGACTAACTGACTCACACATGTCATGACTGTAACTGACTCACACATGTCATGACTGTAACTAACTCACACATGTCATGACTGTAACTGACTCACACATGTCATGACTGTGACTGACTCACACATGTCATGACTGTAACTGACTCACACGTGTCATGACTGTGACTGACTCACACATGTCGTGACTGTAACTGACTCACACATGTCGTGACTGTAACTGACTCACACATGTCATGACTGTAACTGACTCACACATGTCATGACTGTAACTGACTCACACATGTCATGACTGTAACTGACTCACACATGTTGTGACTGTAACTGACTCACACCTGTCGTGGCTGTAACTGACTCACACATGCTGTGACTGTAACTGACTCACACATGTCATGACTGTAACTGACTCACAGTGCATGTTGAGAAAGGTGGAGACAGGCATGCTCCTTGTAGAGTGGCAAGCGTGCTTCAGATGACTTGGGTAGTTAGCATCCTTAGGTTATTTTTCTTCTGGGCATAGTTTAGGTTTAGATGTTGGATCAACATTATGACACACGGATGTAACCCATAAGTGCTCGGTTTTGCTTCTGACTCAAGCTTGAGTCTGAAGAATCTCAGCACAGTGTATGAACTCTCTAGTACCGGCGAGGATCCTGAAATACTTTTGGTAGATTTTAACTCAAAATTTTACCCAGGAGGCGCCATTTGGTTGCTCTTTTCCATTTCTAACTGCCTAGGGATTTTTTTACATGTGCAACAATACATATGGGCGTCCGATTTTACTACCCAGAGACCGGGGGAAATTAATAGAAGTCCACATGAAAAAATACCAGCCTACACTGGTCCTTGAACCTGGGCCAACACACGAGGCTGACGCCATGCCTCGAGGCCAACCAGCCTCTTGAACTCATTGGTATGCTGGTGTGCTGAGAAATAAACAGGCAGATAGGTTAGCTGTTTCTGCACTATAGTGGTAAATTGATGGATAACAACTAGATTTTGTAAAGGCCCTTTGAGAGCGAGTGAACAGTTGGAATATCTAGAGTGCTGCAATGTTGGTTTTCTTAACTCATTATTCATACTGTTTATGAAGGAGAGAAGTAAACAGTGAACAAGGTAGAAAGATACTGTCAGAGAAACTCTACAAAACAGTATACTGTCAGAGAAACTGTACAAAATAGTATACTGTCAGAGAAACTCTACAAAACAGTCGACTGTCAGAGAAACTCTACAAAACAGTATACTGTCAGAGAAACTGTACAAAATAGTATACTGTCAGAGAAACTCTACAAAACAGTTTACTGCCAGAGAAACTCCACAAAATAGTATACTGTCAGAGAAACTCTACAAAACAGTATACTGTCAGAGAAACTCCACAAAATAGTATACTGTCAGAGAAACTTTACAAAACAGTTTACGGTCAGAGAAACTCTACAAAACAGTCGACTGTCAGAGAAACTCTACAAAACAGTATACTGTCAGAGAAACTTTACAAAACAGTTTACGGTCAGAGAAACTCCACAAAATAGTATACTGTCAGAGAAACTTTACAAAACAGTTTACGGTCAGAGAAACTCTACAAAACAGTCGACTGTCAGAGAAACTCTACAAAACAGTATACTGTCAGAGAAACTTTACAAAACAGTTTACGGTCAGAGAAACTCTACAAAACCGTATACTGCCAGAGAAACTCCACAAAATAGTATACTGTCAGAGAAACTTTACAAAACCGTATACTGTCAGAGAAACTCTACAAAACAGTATCTACTGTTTGTGGTTGAGGCGACCAGAAGAGCAAGAACCACTAAAGCTGTCCTCATCAGGGTTGGTTGAACGTGGCTGACTTCTCATTAATTTATAAAGAGCAAACAAATGGACCAGAATGTCCCAGTTGCTATGTTGGTTCTGAACTCATTACTCATAGCTCATACTTGGTTAGAGGAGCTTTAGTAGCAAAGTGGCAGATGCTATATATTTATTTGCCCCTTGCGCAAAAGGCATGACAAGGTTTCAATACTTTGACTTTATACTTGGTTATGTCCGAGCTTGATAAAGGTTAAAGGGTTATGATTAATTATTTACAGCTAGATAAGCATTAAATAGCTTTGATTACTTATTTCAAAGTCATTTTATCTTATATGCATAAGCCTGATTATATATTTTGTACTTTAATGTTTTGTGATTTTTTTTTTTACACATGAAGTAATCTTATCTGATTATTTCTTTTATTGTTACATTTTAGGGGGGAAGTCTACCTCTTTTTGGTATGACAGAATTGCCAAATTGTCCAGTTTGCTTGGAAAGGATGGTAAGAATTTTTTTTTTCTCCAAATAACAGTTTTGCCATAGTTGCAGATGGCCTGCTTATGGACGGTGCCGACATTGTTAATGCTAGAGAGATAGGATGGCCAGAGGATTTTGGGAACAGCATGTCCATAGCACTGCTAAGAATGTGAGAATTCTCCGTGTGGGTTCCGGGGCCCAGTTGTGGGAAAAAACAAGAATAGATCCACTGCCTACCCACAGTCATGTCGTAAGAGCCGACTAATTGGGAGCTTCCTTCGAAGTCGGAGTGCATCTGCCTGAAAGGCAAGGAACCAACAGTCTGCATACAAATGAGTCAGATCTGTAAAACGGATGCGCGTGCAATACACAGGGTTCGTGAACAGGACTGGAGTCCAGAAGTTGACAAACAACCAGAACTTTCCGCTAGAGTTTACAGCTGGTGAAGAAGAAGAAAGAATGTGAGAATTTGGAATAACGGTTGGCACAGCCAGGCATGAGAAGCACGCAGGATGTGCAAGATGTCTAGTTAACCAGCATAGGCCTGCACTATTAACTACAGGGCACTGACGAGTATGTTGAAAGGGGAATCTGAGCACCTGTGTATGTGTCCAGAGTGCTATGAAGATTGCCCATTTTATAACCCATAATACCATGTGCCGATGGCCTAATAAGGGTCCTTTACTTTTGTTGTTGTTTGTAAAACTTATATGGTCCTGAAAACTGGACAAGGAACAAGCAGTTTTAAAGTCCAGATGAGACCTAGAGACATGGGTGAACTGAAGATAGGCATTGAACACACATGCTTGCACCCCCGTGTGGGTTCCGGGGCCCCATTGTGAGGAAAACAAGAATAGACCCACTGCCTCCCCAAAAGCATGTCGTAAGAGTCGACTAATTGGGTAGTTTCCTATTAAGTCGGAGTGCATCTGCCGGAGAGGCAAGGAACCAACAGTCTGTATTCAAAAGAATGAGATCTGTAAAACTGATGCACACGCAACACTCAGGTTCTGGAGCAGGACTGCAGTTCAGCAGTGGACAAGCAACCAGAATTTTCCGCCAGAGTGTACAGCTGGTGAACGCAAAGAAGAAAAAGAAGAAGAAGACATGCATGCATTCACACACAAAACATGCATACATACACACACACATATCGAATATAGAGGTTTTAGAGGGAATGTTTTTTTTTTCTTTTTGGCAATTACCGGCTGTAAACTCTGGCAGAAAGTTCTGGTTGTTCATCCACTTCTGGGACTTGGGTCCTGTTCCAGAACTGGAGTTTTATGTACACATCCATTTAACTAGAGATGAAGAACACAACGGGACATTAAGAGTATGTAGTCATAGGGAGAACACAGCACCTTTCAGAATATCATTGATGTTTTTTGTGTCATTGCTGAAGTACGACAATAAAGACAGTGTAGAAAAGAACAGTTGTTTCCCACCATTTTATTATACAAGCATCAGAGTCACGTGAGAAGCATGTAGCAAGTAAAACATCATCCTTATCACCACCACTATCGACACGACCATCTTTCTCTTCATCTATAATCTTCCAATCGACTCCTCCTGTAGCAAAACTAAAGACGAACCTGGGTGTGACATTAACGTACGCAACAAAAAAGAGAGCTGATTATCCCCCTTCAACTCAACACGATCCTTGGCATGTTGTTCCCAGGAATCAGCTTTTTCGTACAGTGACTGAAATTCACTGTTCTGATTCAGGAATATTGAATTAGGAATTGACATCTTAGCCCTCGGGACACTGCTATAAGTGCTCCGTCCCCCATTGTCAGGAGCAAGCGAAGAGTTCCACATCCAAGGGCACAGTAACAGTCTGATAGAACATCCATCTCACCTTTCCCTGCTGATTGTCGGCCAAATCTCCTGTAACTCCACTCATCGCCATTCTCCTCAGATGGTAATGATCTGTTTGGGCCTTCATACTGTTCACTCGCACCCAAAGGGCCCTCATAACATCTAGCTTGCCATACATCAATTCACCGCCAAGCGGTGCAAAACCAGCCAGTCTGTCTGCCTGCTCATTTCCCAACACACCGGCATATTTCTGTTTCAGGAAGAATCAGCAGATGGCATCCTCACAGTGCTGTGTAACCATGCATTTCACACACACTGTCTGGCTCAATGGGAAGATACCAGGTTTGTTCATTTGTCTGTTGTCCCTCTGTGGGGTTCCAGGGATCCCATTGTGGGGGAAATAAAGAGTAGACCCACTTTAACTCTTTCAATTCCCCCCCTCCCCCAAGTTTAGCTTTAAAGCAATACAAACTTTCATTTGAATGAGTGAAACAGATATTATGGGTCAGAAGTAATTCAATCAAATGACAACTCTCTGTTAAAATTCGGAAATTCAGTTAATAATCGGATTCAAAAAGTTAATATAACGCATGTGAAAGGAGAGAGCAGGAACATTACGTTGTCTTTGGAATCACAAAGAAACATATTGATACATTGTTGGGTAACAAAAGAGTTAACGATCCAGTGACCTTGGGCTGTCGTTGTTTGGCCCGATGCCATGTAGTGATTTAGGTAAATGATCGTTGGTTGGTTAATTCCTCTTTCTGTTTTTTGTGCTTCTTCTTTCTTAATAACCTTTCATTTGTTTTGAGAGGCAGAAAAGGTTCATGGGGGTTCTTAGCAAAAGTGAATAGAAGTTGATTAATGCAACAAAGCCTGGCACATGACACAACACCTGGTCTGAGAATGGATGTGGAGGCAGTCACTACAGCCTTCTGCTGGCTTGAGAATAAGCTGTACACACATGTTGTAATTGTGACCGACTTACAGAGCTTGATGAAAATGGTGGAGATGGGTATGCTGCTTGAAGAGTGGCAAGCTTGCTTTAGAAGTCCCAGGTAGTTGGTTAGGTTCTGCACAATCTGGTGGTGAATTGATGCATGACAAGCTCAATATTGTAAGGGCCTTTTAGGAGGCAAGTTCAGAGGTACAGATAGATCATCATCATCTAAGGAGAATGGTGCTGCGAGGAGTGATGGGATCTAGCCGCTGCTGCTGAAGATGGGGACAGAGCACTTCTGGGAATGTCCAAATGCTGTGATATCAATTCTTAATTAAACATTAAACATATCTTTTTGTTTAAATATTTTGGTAGCTGGTGAGATGGGGTGTAAAAAGCAAGCTGTTGAAGTGGCATTTTTATAATATGGAATGTTGGTAAAATTTAATGTTAGTAAAATGTAATGTTGCTAAAGTGAGACTTCTCATAAAAGCATATTCATCTCCCATTCTGCTATCAGTGCCAGACAGGGTCTTACAGCAGAAAGAAACAAAAATGAGTAACCATGAAGATAAGGTCAGAGGAATTTGGAGTGACCTGGAAAGAACAAATCAGTAATCAAGAGAAAGAAGTTGGTATAAAACTAGTACTAAATGATATATAAGTGCAACAGATAAAATGGTTTGGCCACCTAGAATAGCATGTGACACCTTAAAAAGACCAGACATATACTTAAAGAGCAGAGGGACATAACTCTATAATGTGTGATTGATTGAGGCGGCCCAATGAGTGATAAGCACAACCTTGTACATCCATTAACACCTAAAGTGATGTAGGAATTAAATAAGAAAGTGACATATTGGTAAAATAAATTAAGGAAACAATTTGTTGAATGCTGATACATCACTCTTTATGGGAACTTTTGTTTTTAATAGTTAAATTAGATAATTATGATCAGTTGTTTAACTGGCTAGGGGTCCTTTCAAGTAGGTGTTGATTATAGCAGCATTATACAAAGTACACATTACACAATGATTGTAATTGTACAAAGTATTTCTTTACTCTGGTCTACTGTAGATCTGTTTACAGGCATGGATCTGTGTAAAATGATTTGAGATATGAGTAACATTATCTTCCCGGCACTCCAGACATGTATATAGGTGCTCAGATTCTCCCTTCAACTTATACATTAACGTCCCTTGGTTAATAGTGCCAGTTCTGTGCTGCTTAACAATTCTTGTACATTCTGGGTGCCTTTCATGTCTGGCTGTGCTAAACTTTACTCACAGTTCTCATATTCTTAGCAGTGATGTGGCCAAGCTGCTCCCAAAATCCTCTGATCAATCATCATATCTCTCTAAGGCAGCGGTTCTCAACCTGCCGGTTGCGACCCTTTTTTGGGGTTGCATGACCCTTTCACAAAGGTCACCTAGGACAATTGGAAAACACATATTCATTGAATTTATGAATAAAAACAATTGTTTGGGGGTTGCCACAACATGAGGGAACTATATGAAAGGGTTGCCACAACATGAGGGAACTATATTAAAGGGTTGCCACAAGATGAGGGAACTATATTAAAGGGTTGCCACAACATGAGGGAACTATATTAAAGGGTTGCCACAACATGAGGGAACTATATTAAAGGGTTGCCACAACATGAGGGAACTATTTTAAAGGGTTGCCACAACATGAGGGAACTATATTAAAGGGTTGCCACAACATGAGGGAACTATTTTAAAGGGTTGCCACAACATGAGGGAACTATATTAAAGGCTTGCGGCACTAGAAAGGTTTACAGCCAGTGCTCTAAGGGAATTAACAATTGTGGCATGATCCATTGGGTGACCATCTGCAGCCAAGGCAGAACCAGCCTGTCTGTCAGGTGGTCAAATCGTTTTTTTGAAATAGTATGAAGTCAGTTCCCATAATTGTTGGCTCGGTTTCCTAGGGTCACTGGGGGTCAAGCCAACATCGAACCGTCCAACATATTTTGTTTTGTAGTTTACTGGTGGTTCTTTTTTGTATGCTGCACATTATTCACTTTTTTTTTAAACATTGCCACGTTGGCTTTCAAGTACAGACATTTAAGTATCTAGATACCTGAATAACATCCAATGGAAGATGTGCCACAGAGATATAAAACAAAAAAGGACAGGCATAAAGTGCATTTTATAAAATGAAGAGGATTTTATGCAATAAATCCAGATCATTAGAGGCTAGAATTATTGCATTCTATATAGAGCCAATTTTAACATATGGCTGTGAATCCTGGACAATTAATTAACGAGCCAAATAATTTCTTGAGGCCTCATAGAGATGGTTTTACAGAAAAATCCTTAGAATTCCTTGGACAGCCAAAAAGAGCAGTCCAGATTTTTTTTTAAAGAGGTACGGGTTCAAAGACAACTTGTCACAAACATCAGAAAGAGACAGTCATAATTTTTTGGTCATGTTATGAGAAGAAGGAAACTGGAACATTTTGTGACCACTGGAAAGATCTGTGGAAAGAGAGACAGGAAGACAATATGAGAACATTTCTGACAGCCTTTTGTTATGACAAAGAAGGGGTGTCAGCACACCAACCGATATATGCTGTTGTAGACTGCCTATTGTGGTGAGGCATGATCACCCACACCAGTCGGCAAGGCACTTGATGATGATGATGATGGTTTACAATTTCTGTTTTACAGTTGTCCTGTGTGTAGATACTGCCAGACGCCAGAAGAAGTGGCAGACCAAAAGTGCATGCAGTGTGGTTCACATGAGGTAATTGTAGTCCAGTGTGGTTCACATAAGGTAATTGTAGTCCAGTGTGGTTCACATGAGGTAATTGTAGTCCAGTGTGGTTCACATGAGGTAATTGTAGTCCAGTGTGGTTCACATGAGGTAATTGTAGTCCAGTGTGGTTCACATGAGGTAATTTAGCATTTCCTGTGTGGTTATTACTTGGAATGTGACATTTAATTTTTATTTTTTCAACATTGGCACTGGTTTGTGTGTGTGTGTGTGTGTGGGGGGGGGGGGGGGTGAGGAGGCAGTTTCATGCTGTGAGTGGGTTGAGACATTTAACAGTTGTGAAAGTCACTGTAGTCCACTGTTAGTGGGTTGAGACATTCAACAGTTGTGAAAGTCACTGTAGTCCACTGTTAGTGGGTTGAGACGTTTAACAGTTGTGAAAGTCACTGTAGTCCGCTGTGAGTGGGTTGAGACATTTAACAGTTGTGAAAGTCACTGTAGTCCGCTGTGAGTGGGTTGAGACATTTAACAGTTGTGAAAGTCACTGTAGTCCACTGTTAGTGGGTTGAGACATTTAACAGTTGTGAAAGTCACTGTAGTCCACTGTTAGTGGGTTAAGACATTTAACAGTTGTGAAAGTCACTGTAGTCCACTGTGAGTGGGTTAAGACATTTAACAGTTGTGAAAGTCACTGTAGTCCACTGTGAGTGGGTTAAGACATTTAACAGTTGTGAAAGTCACTGTAGTCCACTGTGAGTGGGTTAAGACATTTAACAGTTGTGAAAGTCACTGTAGTCCGCTGTGAGTGGGTTAAGACATTTAACAGTTGTGAAAGTCACTGTAGTCCGCTGTGAGTGGGTTAAGACATTTAACAGTTGTGAAAGTCACTGTAGTCCACTGTGAGTGGGTTGAGACATTTAACAGTTGTGAAAGTCACTGTAGTCCACTGTGAGTGGGTTGAGACATTTAACAGTTGTGAAAGTCACTGTAGTCCACTGTGAGTGGGTTGAGACATTTAACAGTTGTGAAAGTCACTGTAGTCCACTGTGAGTGGGTTGAGACATTTAACAGTTGTGAAAGTCACTGTAGTCCACTGTGAGTGGGTTGAGACATTTAACAGTTGTGAAAGTCACTGTAGTCCACTGTTAGTGGGTTGAGACATTTAACAGTTGTGAAAGTCACTGTAGTCCACTGTGAGTGGGTTGAGACATTTAACAGTTGTGAAAGTCACTGTAGTCCACTGTGAGTGGGTTGAGACATTTAACAGTTGTGAAAGTCACTGTAGTCCACTGTGAGTGGGTTGAGACATTTAACAGTTGTGAAAGTCACTGTAGTCCACTGTGAGTGGGTTGAGACATTTAACAGTTGTGAAAGTCACTGTAGTCCACTGTGAGTGGGTTGAGACATTCAACAGTTGTGAAAGTCACTGTAGTCCAATGTAGGAGGGTTGAGAAAAAAGACTTTATTTACTAGCATATATGTAGACTTCCAGTCAGTATGGCAGACATGCAGGTTTATTGTCATAGCAAGTTTTTGCTTTTGACAATAGTTAGCTGTTGCATTTTCCTCCATGTGTAGACTGAAAAGTTATAGTCCCATCGCCCAGCGGAGTTGAGTGCATGGCACAGAAATGAGCTGTTATTTCTTTTGGAATTCTTTTTGACTGTGCCCAGTGTGGTTTCTGTGTGTTGTGAAGTGCAGATTAGTAAATGGCGAGTGGTCTGTTACCAGAATACTTGTGGTGTCTTATGCTATTAATTGTGTGTGCAACTACTGATCTGTTGTAACTGCTGCTTCCATCATCTGGAACTGCATTTCTAATGTCAGACTGTTTTCATTTAACATGTGTGTATGCTGGTAGATTTTCTGAGACTGTACTGTGTGAATTTTTTTTTTACAAGGGGCAATCTTCTTCTTTGTTTTCTTCTTTGATCCTTCTGTCAGAAAACGTATATCAGGAAGCCGGTAGCCTTTATGAAAGCTATCGTGCAGTCCATATCCTCTCGTGTACCATACAGTTTTTTCTTCATTATGGTTGGAACAGGCCGGATTGCATCTCTGTTGTCAGCATACAGTTGACAGTGTTGGAGCACATACTCAGCGTTTTTGGGTGCCACGCTGCAGGGACACGTCTCCGTATTTCCTACACCGAAAAATGTGAACATATGTTGACGAAGTCTGTTGGGCCCAGTCCTTAGTCTGAATATAATACAGTGTCCCTCTCTAGAGAGGCGATGAAGCGAGTCTTGTGGAGAGAATCTGATGTGTGTATCCTGCCACCTTTCTTGGATACTAGATTGTATTATTGCAATGGACAGTGATGAGCATTCTGTTTCGCACAAGAATGCAGCCACTATAGGGTGACCCAATTTGCTATGAATTCGGAGCTGTGATCTCGTGATTACCTGAAATATCTAGACTATCAGACAGTTACTGGTACCATTGGAATAGGAACTCTTCGCTTGCTGCTGGAGATGGGGACGGAGCGCTTATGGGAGTGTCCTTAGTGCTGTGAAGTCGATTCTTAATTTAGCATTCATACATCTAGACTAGGGCTATGGTAGTACAGTGGTCTATGCATTAGCCTACCAAGAGATTGGTTTGGGTTCAATCCTCAAAAATATTCTTTTTCTGACCTGTACATCTTGAGTTCATGACCCCTTGTCCTACACTGCCCTAAAAAATGTGGTAACCACAGACAGTAAAGACACCATTAGTATCGAAATTTCGCTGGCAGCTGAAGATGGGGACGGAGCACTTATGGGAATTCCCCGGATGCTGTGATGTCGGTTCTTGGATCAAATCAAATCAAATCAAGATGACAAAAAAATACAAGGGAAATTCGGGGATTTAAAAAAAATTGGTTCGCAGTTATTAATTCTTTGTCCACCGGGAAGGCTAACCTGGTCAACAAATGCCCGCAGAAGTCGGATATGTTGGCCGAAAGGTGCAAATATTGCAGCCATGCTGTAAACAGACACAACGCAATTACATCTTTGGATGAACGAAGAAGAAAAAGACAGTAAAGACAGCTCGTGAAGACCTAGCTCATTATCTTCTTCTCCTGCATGTTCGCCAGCTATCAGTTCTGGTTGTTTGTCTGCTTTTTGACGTCAGTCTTGTTCCAGAACTTGAGTTTTGCATGCACATCCATGTTACCGATCTTTAGACTGTGGACTTGTCACCTCTCAGGCAGATGCACTCAGTCTTTGAATGAAACACCCATGAATTGTTGACTTTTACAACACGCTGGTTAGGGGTAGGAAAACACTGGGTCTAACCCTCACCCTCCCATACACACACGCATAAATGTAATGGGCCCCATTAACCACGTAGGTTAGTTGTGTATCCTTTACAGGATGTTGCAGAACCAACTGCAGCAGCCCCTGGCTGTTCTCTAGGCAAATTTACGTCCTGTGGTTTGCCATTGCTTTCTGGACGGTCGTTATCCCCCCCCCCCCCCACCCCCGATTCCACTGTCAAAACAAACACGAGGCGCATGGCCCACAGCTGGGATCGAACCCGGCACCCCGGCATTACGAAGCGTTCGCATTGACTTAGCCACAGAACCAACAGGAACCACATAGAGAGCTTATTTTTTGGGAGTACCTGAAAAAGATCTGCAGATAGGAGCTGGCTATGCCACCTCAAATTGTAAAGACCTAACACTTGTCAGCCCAGCAGCAGCGTCTACGTCTGGGACAACCTTAACCTTTTTATGAGCTTTTGTTAAGTTTGCTTTTGTTTGTTTGTTGGTCTGTCTGACACAGTTTTTGCACACATTTTTATTTTTTTTTTTAAATATGTAGACTCTTCTTATCTTCAGAGTCTGTGGATTTGTTTGATCTGCGGCAATGTCGGGTGCGGACGCTATGTGGGGCTGCATGCCTACAAGTGAGTTATCATCTGTTTTTGCTCAAGTATAGACATTTCAGATCAGAAGACTTGCCATCTCCACATCAAAGCTCGACTTCATGGAACTTGTTCTATTTCTATCTCAGACCTTGATAGTACAGTGTCAAAATAAATTGAATTAGTTCAGATTGCTTTTAATTTGAGTTGAATCAGGTTGATTGATCAACCCTTTCCTTACATTTTCCTTCCACAAGTCAGCAAGCACTGGTAAATTAAAACCTCTCTCACTCTTTTGTAATTAATGACATGATTTGGAACCAGCAACTTTTGCCATAAGCTTTAAATTAACAACCTATTGATTTAACCAAGTTAAATGTTTTATATGTTCTAAATACTGTCTTATCTGTTCTTGATTCAGTCTGTTGATTCCTCGGCTATTCTTAAAACTATCTTATCTGTTGTAAATACTGTCTTATCTGTTCCAAATGCCGTCTTATCTGTTTTGCATTCAGTCTTATCCATTCTGAATGCTGTCCTATTTGTTGTAGATGCTTTATTGTCTGTTCTGCATTAAGTCTTATCCATTCTGAATACTGTCTTATCTGTTGTTGATGCTGTATTGTCTGTTCTGCATTAAGTCTTGTCTTGTAAATGCTGTCTTATCCGTTCTAATTGTATTTTATAATCTGTTCTAAATATTGTTTTACCCATTCTAAATCCTGTCTTATCAGTTATGTATGCTGTCTTATCTGTTTTAAATTCTTTTTATCTGTCATAAATATTGTCTTGCCTGTTCTAAATCCTGTCATCTGTTTTAACTGCTGTCCTATCTGTATTAATGTTATCTTAGCTAATTTGCTAAAACACTGTCCTGTCTGTTCAGAATGATGTCTTGTCTATTCAAAATGCTTCCTGTAAATGCAAAATGCTGTCTTATCTATTCAGAACACGGTCTTATCTATTTAAAATGCTATGTTATCTATTCAAAAAGCTGTCTTATCTATTTAAAATGCTATGTTATCTATTCAAAAAGCTGTCTTATCTATTTAAAATGCTTCTTATCTATTCAGAACACTGTCTTATCTATTCAAAATGCTTCTTATCTATTCAGAATACTGTCTTATCTATTCAGAATGCTGGCTTATCTGTTTTAAATGCTGCCTTACCTGTTTTAAACACTGCCTTTTTTGTTGTAATCCTGTCATATCTGTTCAAAATGCTGTAGGCATTTCCAAGACACCAACCACACGTACGCGATGCAGCTGGGAACCAACAGAGTGTGGGACTACGCTGGCGACAACTATGTTCACCGATTGGCCCAGAACAAATCTGATGGCAAGCTAGTCGAGGTTGATGAGGGAGGGAATGAAGTTCAGGAGGAAAAACTGGATTCCATTACTCTAGAGGTAGAGTGTTACCCTTTAAAAAAAAAATTTTGTCTTTTTCTTATCCTGAGTTGTTGGATGGCAAAGTAGAAGTGACCAGTCTCTTTAATGCAGTGTCATTTACTTCAATAGGGAGCTGCTGTACTGTAGCAAAGTACAAGTGGTGATGAGATTGTGGAAGGATCTTCAGTAACCAGTCTCTTTAATGCAGTGTCATTTACTTCAATAGAGAGCTGCTGTACTGTAGCAAAGTACAAGTGGTGATGAGAATATGGAAGGATCTTCAGTAACCAGTCTCTTTAATGCAGTGTCATTTACTTCAGTAGGGAGCTGCTGTACTGTAGCAGCTAGATGCTTGCCTGCAGCTCAGAAAGGCATGGGTTTAGGTTCTGACAGAGCTGGACTTTTTAGAGAAATGAATGACCTTGGCTTTCAGGTCAACCCAGCCTTAAATGGGTACCAGGTAAAGTCCTGTGAAGCAAAGGTGGCCAGCGTGGTGTAAACCACATCACCCACCGAGTGCTGAAATGAATAACAGAATTCTGCTCCTCTTTGGTGCATGTCAGAATATTGACAGTCATCTTTAAAATGTCATTATGACATTGCTGTGTTCATCTGCACCGTGGAACATGACACACGACTTACACACACACATCGTGATTGTAACTGATTCAGAAAGCTGGCTGAGGAAGATCAGGACAGGCATGCTTCGTGCAGAGTGGCATGCCTTGCTGCGGAGGACACGGGTGTGGAGTATTGTCTGGATTTTTTTCAACGGGTTATGCCCGTGTGTTGGGAAATTAACAGGCGGACAGACTGACTGGTTCTGCACAACTTGGTGGAATACTGATACATGATAAGGCAGACGTGGTTAGTGCCTTGTGGGAGAGTGTGTACAGTTCGGAGGAGCAGATAGATCACCACAGTCTGGTGAGATTGATGCAGGAAAGGGGTAGGGGGGGGGATGAGAGGTTTTGGCAAATGCTCAAAGCTCAGAGGAAAGGCAACATGGACACTTAATCAGAACGCTACTGGCACCATTAGTATCGGAACTCTTCACTGGCTGCTGAAGATGGGGTCAGAGCGCTTATGGGAATGTCCCGAGTACTGTGATGTCGGTTCTTAAATCAAATCAAATCAAATTTGCACCGTGGTGTCATGTGCTTGACACTCATAGCATCCTTATCAACAATATTGACAAGTTACATGACAGTGGCATGGTTGTTGTAATTTCTGTCACACTTTAAGTTTTTCACTTGAAACCCCTCTTGAACTATTCTAAGCTCCCTCTGAGGGCCCCAGAGGAAAGTCATGTTCTTTGTAGTGTTCACCGGCTGTCAACTCCAGCAGAAAATTCTGGTTGTTCATCCACTTCTGGACTGTGATCTTGTTCCAGAACTTGAGTTTTGCGAGCACATCCGTTTGTTCTGGTATATAACCAGAGCCAAGAAAGGTTTCTTGTTATGGCAGATTCAATCAATCAATCAGGTGCCGTCTCCACAATGAAGGTTGGCTGCAATGGATCTCCAACAAGCCCTGTCTCTTGCCCTTGATGTACACTCACTCATACTGCTGTTCGTTCATCTCTTGATGTTATCCTCCCACTTGTAACGCTGTCTGCCTCTTGCTCGCCTACCTTGAACCTTTCCCTCTAGGATGATCTTTACAATACTGTTATGTCTTTTAATGTGGCCAAAATATTTCACTTGTCTCATTTTTATTTCACCTAGCAACTCTCTTTTCATTCCCAATTTCCTCAGTACCTCTGTATTTGATAGCTTTTGTTTCCATGAAATACGACCTAATCTTCTGTATATCCACATCCCCAAAGAATTGATACGATTTTCCAGTTGTTTGTTCATTGTCCATGTCTCTGTGTCATACAGTAAGGTTGAGAATTCATAACATTTGACAATTCTCATTTTTAATGTATTGCTTATTTCTCTTGATGTCAGTAACTTTTGCATGTTGTTGAAAATGTTTTTGGCCATCCCTATTCTTTTCTTGACTTCTGTTCCACTTCTGCCGTCACATGTTATTACTTGTCCAAGATATAAGAAATTTTTAACTTGTTCCAATTTCACCCCGTTCACTGTGATATTCATTGTTAGCTGATTATTTTCTTTGCTAAATATCATGGTTGTTGTCTTTTTCAAATTAATATCTAATCCAAATTCTGCACTCCTTCTGTTTAAGACAGATTAACAGACTGGAAAAAATTTGAAAACGAGGCAAGTGTATTATTCTTGGATGCACTAGTGACACCACTTGTAAATTCATGCGATACCTCTTGGATTTCCCCACAGTGGAAAACAGAAGCAAGCCTTCCAGGACCATTGCTTTCCCCAAAGTGAAGTAAACCCCTCATCACCTGCTTCATGAAGAATTAGTCAAGCAAAAAACAAAGCAAAAAAGAAAAAAGTTAAAATTGTTGAGCTGAGGACGCCATCGTACATGTTTGCTGCCTTACTGACATTAATTTTGGTATTGAATTCAGGGGCCCACTTGATGCGAATGCAAACCGACCAACTGCCTCTACGAGCATACAACGAACAGCACTACTGCCCTAGAGCAAGAGGCAGACCGAGAGTACGATGGATAGACAATATATCAGAGATCCTGAGGCAACACAGACTAACAACAACACGTGCAACACACCTGGCCCAGGATAGAAAACTGCGACTCCCCACTACGCTGTGAGGCAATTGTGGACAAGACAAGATGAGATTCAGGGGCATGACAAAGGGCATGACTGTATCCCTATCTAGGCTGATGGACATGGGCTGAAGCCTAAAACTGCAAGAAATGAACACTTCACTAAGGGAACAAAACGTTTCATTAATTGACACAGATCAGGCGTCATGAGTCATTTTACACTTATGGAGCTTTTAAAGAGGAGACTATAGATCTGTCAAGAGTGCTGTGATGATAATCCTTACTAATCACGAATGACTGATGTTATGAATGATTGATGCTATGAATGATTGATGTTATGATTGATTGATGTCTTTGTTCACAGTACACATACCTGCTGACGACTCAGCTGGAATCCCAAAGGCTGTACTTCATGGAGCAGATTTCCCTGGCTGTCAAGGATGTGGAGGCGAAGGTAATTGTCAAAGGAGGGGATGAAAGTGTCAGGTGTTTCCCCAAAAGTAAGGCCTTACCTTAAATAAGCCCAAGCTTGATTGATTTTTCAGAATGCTTTAATATATGCCCTAGCCAAAATATTAGGCTCCGTGGCAAACTATTTGCCTCCCACTCTTCTTCTTCTTCTTCTTTGCTTTCACCAGCTGTAAATCCTGATGAAAAGTTCTGGTTGTTCCTCCACTTCTGGACTGCAGCCCTGTTCCAGAACCTGAGTGTTGCTTGCGCATCTGTTTTACAGATCTGACTCTTTTGTATGCAGACTGCTGATTCCTTTCCTCTCAGGCAGATACACTCCAACTTTAAATGGAAGCTCCCAATTAGATATGCTTTTGGGAAGGCAGTGGGTCTATTCTTGTTTTCCCTATAATAGGGCCTGGTAACCCTTGGGGAGCCTCACACTCTGAAGGTCATGGCTTCATTACAAAGTGGCGCGGTTCAGTTCATGAATGCAATTTTTACGGAGATCCCTGGGGATCAGTGCCGGAGCTATGGAGATCATGCTTTGTGTGACGCTCTCAGCAGGCAGCTAGCTATTATTTGGAGAGAGACTGAGCCATAAGGGATAAAAGCCGGTGCAATGAAGTCGATCCTCTCACCTTTACCATCACCTTTATTAAGTCCTAGTTAAGACTGTCAGCCAGACAGATGGGTTTGTAATCTTCTATTGAATCAGACAGTGTGCGTATTACATTACAAGTATAAACACATTTTATTGATGCTTTCATAAATGTAGGGTGCCACAGGGGTGTAGCAGCTAGATGCTCGCCTTTGGATCTGTCGCGTGCAGATGTGCACCAGAATGCACCAGTACTGAGTGAGCAAATAAGACGTCAAAACAATACGTCAGGTTGTGAAGGGATTGTATTCTAGGAGATGAAAGTCAAAGTTTGACCAAGGCGGACGTCTGGTCCGGCCTTGGTGTGGATCCTTGAGGATGCTTTACCCCGGGGTAAAGGCAACAACTTAATATGCCACTTGTTACATTGCGACGCCCTTAGTCACCTTTGGTACGCCGCACATCACCACGCAGCCTTTACAGCACGTCACACTGTACGCCAAGCTTTCACCCGTCACAGGATCCAAAGGTCTTGAGTTTAGGTCCTGACAGCCGTAATTTAAAAAAAAAAATGACTTTGGTTCCTGAGTCTAGCAGCCTTAAATAGGTATCAGGTAACATCCTGGAAAGTAAAGGGGGTCGGCGTGATGTTCACCACATTTGTACATTTGTACATATGAATCGTACTCTAGAACAGAGACACAGATGTCTGGCAGAACCACAACCGGATCAGGCCCAGTGTGGTTTTAGAGCAAACCGAAGTGCTTAAGGCCTTATCTTCACACTCAGACAGGGGTGGGGGCTGCATGGTCTCGAGGCATGGCGTCTTACTCGAGTGTTGGAGGTCCCGGGTTTAAGCCCTGGTGACGGCTGGGATTTTTGCGTGTCTCTGAGTAGTAAAATCAGACACCTGTGTGTATTGTTGCGCAGGTAAAAAAAAAATCCCTTGGCAGTGGAAACTTAAAAAAGAGTAGCCTACCAGTGCTGCCCGGGCAAAATTTGGATTGTGCACTGCGCTGAGATTCTTCAGACTCAGGCTGGAGTCAGAAATAGAACGGAGCACTTAGGGGTTACATTGTTGATCCATTGTCTAAACCTAACAAAACCTAACTCAGGCACATGAGTAAAAAAGCCCTCGAATACAAGAGTGAGTTGAACCTATGTTTTTTTTTTGTTTTTTTGCAGGGGTGGGAGCTAGAAAAGGCATTTGATAATGTACCCTGGAGTAAGCTCCAGGGAAAAACATCCCAGCACACCTGATCAGTGTAATGCAGAGTTTTTACAAAAGCTGTTGTTAAAACAGGTTATGCTCTCCTTCAATGGCAGTTCACTTTAGTCTGCCAATGTTGCTGGTTCCTCTCAAAGAAATATTCACTTTTTGCTCCTCCTGCAGCTTCAGGTCATATCTCTTCTTGTGTGTGTGTGTGTTCTTGCGTGCGTGCATGTGTGTGTGAGAAAAACTGTCTGGTTGCAGCATCTTTTCACCTCCTCTTAAATTCACATAATTTTTTGTTTCGATCCATCCCCATTGTCAGCAGCAAGCACAGGGTTCCAGTTCTGATGGTACCAGTATCTTCTTTTTATTCTTTGCATTCATTGGCTGTAAACTCCGGCAGAAAGTTTTGGGCATTTATCCACCTCCGGACTTTAGTCTTGTTCCTTCTTCTTCTTCTTTGTTCACCGACTTTGTGCCAGGGCCTGAGTTTTGCATGTACATCCGTATTACTGACCTATGTGTGTGCAGTTATTCTTATTGTGGAAGCAGTGGGTCTCTTCTTGTCTTCCCCACAATGGGGCCCTGGAACCCACACGGGGGGTACCAGTAACAGTATAATTATATTTCCATCATATACAGACATATACATGCATCCACACGCACATGTGTATGTACACAGACATGTGTTTTGAGTAGTATGTGTGATCAGACACAGTGCCTGACCATAATTGTTTTCATCTCTACATTTCTTGGCCATGAAGCTGGAGGAGTCTACGGCACGCTGGGAGAATGAGAGACAGGAGCGGGAGCGGACTGAGTGTAGACTGTCGGAGATCAGCAAAGAGAAACAGAGTTTGGAGAAGAAGTGTAATCAGGTGTGTGATGTATTTAGAATGGATACAATTTTAGCTTTTATTGTAGCCAAAGTTGTTGTCATTGGGATGCAGTTTTGTTGGACTTGTGGCCGACAGAGCCAAGAAGATTTTGGTCATTCATCTCAAAACAAAACCAAAAAATCATTATTTATTGTCGCCGTGCTCTAGGTATAAATTTGTGTACATCAGAGTTATACATTTGGCACCTGGTTCTGTGCACTATTGCTTCACCTAGACTTCCGGGGCTTTATTAATATCCTACCCCAAACAGGGGAAATCCACAGGTCACAGGACAGTCAGGGGGTGGTAGATAGGCTGCATGCAGTCGTGGGACCTAGGCTTCACTCTCTCGTGGGACGTAGGTTGTTTGCCTTTAGGGCCAGTTTAAGATGTTTTATGGTTGTTGAAAGCATAAGAAATGCCAGGAAACCCAGTCTTACCACCCTCTAAAATGTTTGACTTTCCTGGGGTTGGATATTAATAAAACACCAGACTTCCTTTTCTCTAAGATCTGTTATCAGCTTGATTCTTGCCAAATGACAGGACATTTTTGTGTAGGATATGATGACAACAGTGAAGATTTTAGGTATGATTTTAATGACTACTTGTCACTTGTTTTTAGTGACTACTTGTCTTTTCGTGACTACTTGTCTTTTAGTGACTACTTGTCTTTTAGTGACTACTTGTCTTTTAGTGACTATTTGTCTTTTAGTGACTACTTGTCTTTTAGTGACTACTTGTTTTTTAGTGACTACTCTTTGTTAATTCAAACGAGAAAGAGAATTCTTAAAAGCTTTATAAATCCTGTCTTGATAAATGGAAGTGAATCATGGACATTTGGTAGATTAGTGAAAAATTATTTGGAAGCTGCAGAGATGTGGTTTTATAGACAAATGATGAGAATACCCTGGACAGATACAAAGAGTAATATAGATGTCTTGAAAGAAAGTGATTGACCACATCAGGAAGAGACATTGTACACTCTTTGGTCATGTGATGAGAGTGAGAAAGCTGAAGTACATCATGACAGTAGGAAAGTTGGAGGGGAGGAGAGGCAGACGGAGATGGAGAGAAAAGATGCTGGACAGTCTGACATCATGGCTTGGAGGATCATCTGTGTCAGAGCTGATTGAAAGTACATGAGACAGAAGGACATTCAGAACAAGAAGACTACTTGCAAACTGAAAACAGCAGTGGGAAGTTCATTTATCAGCAAGTTCTTTACAGAACATCTCTCTCTCTCTTCATAGCACTTCTGAAAGTCTCTTTCCTGAGCCAGCTCTCCAGCCCTATGTGCTTTCACAGCCAGTGCATCCTCTGTGTCTTGTATCACCTTTGTGGAGATCAGCTTAAGCCTTGTTTTCCAGAAACGGTATCTTCCATCACCATTTTGGGTGGGGGTCGGAAAGGGGGGGGGGGGGCACCATGACTTTGGATTTGCATGCAGATCCAGTTTCTGGAGCAAGATTTCAGTCTAGATATGGACAGATAGCCAGAATTTTCCACCAGAAACAGCCAGCGAATGTAGACAAGGAGATGGCCAGAATACTTCATCATTCCTGGCAGGATGCTGTTTATTATCTTCTTCTCTGTGTTTAGCGGCTGTGAACTCCTCCAGCAGAAAGCTCTGGTTGTTTGTCCAACTCTGGATTTGAGTCTTGTTCCAGAACTTGAATTATGCGTGCACATCCGTTTTACACATCTAGTTATTTGTATGAAGCCTGTTGGTTCCTCGCCTCTCAGACAGATACCCTTTGACTTTGGGGGAAATCCATAATTCGCTGCATTTTATAACATGCTTGATAGGGAGGCAGGGGTCTGTCCCCCCCCCCACCCCTCCATCCCACAAATAGGGCCCCAGAACCCACACAGAGACGATGCTGTTTATGAAGGGGAACAAAAAGTTATAAAAACCCTAGAGGGCCTAATCATATGGCATAAAAAGTAAAAAGAAAAGGAAAAAATTCCTTTTCACGCCTTAAGGCGCATAGGGTATATGGGAAGAGCACCCATATTTTTTCAGACCATCGGCACTAGGTGTATAATGTGGTCAGCATTATGCCGGCCATCTCTACTTCCCCAGGACATACATTCTGGTACCCATTTTAGGATGGGTCGACCTGCCCATACCACGATAAAAATCCACGCCACATGGCATACTAAAAACAAAAAAGATGATTGGATACTCATGACTGAGTCAGGCGGTGAATGATTCTTATCATGTCAGAATGTGAGCAGTCACGGTTCAGCCACACACACAATTACCACCATCATGTATCAGGTAGTGTTCTTGTCCTGCCTGTGCCATAAGGCCAAGCCATCTTTACCTTTCCCTTTTCCATCAAGCTTACCAGTTGTATCCAAGTTTTTCGGGATCCTCGCTGGTGCTACAAAGTTTGTGCACTGCGCTGAGATTCTTCCGACTCAGGCTTGAGTTGGAAGTAGAACGGAACACATGGGTTACTGCCCTTGTGACATGATGTTGATCCGTTGTTAAAACCTAAATCTAGTTGTATGCAAGTTTTTTAAGATATCTACATCTAATTTCTCAATCAGTCTACAGTATCCATCTGTTCTAAGGAGGAATATATCTACATCTAATTTCTCAATCAGTCTACAGTATTCATCTGTTCTAAGGAGGAAGATATCTACATCTAATTTCTCAATCAGTCTACAGTATCCATCTGTTCTAAGGAGGAAGATATCTACATCTAATTTCTCAATCAGTCTACAGTATTCATCTGTTCTAAGGAGGAAGATATCTACATCTAATTTCTCAATCAGTCTACAGTATTCATCTGTTCTAAGGAGGAAGATATCTACATCTAATTTCTCAATCAGTCTACAGTATTCATCTGTTCTAAGGAGGAAGATATTTACATCTAATTTCTCAATCAGTCTACAGTATTCATCTGTTCTAAGGAGGAAGATACTGTCTTCTTCTTTGTGTTCTCCCTGGTTTTGGTTTTGAGATGAGAAGGTAACTGGCCTCTATGGAGTCTGTGGTGCAAGGCATGTTGTCCACTGTTTTTTTGTGCGGCTGTTTGCGATTTAACTAGGCAGTTTTACATTTACTAGTTTACCGTTGCTTTCTGAGCGGTCTGCTGTCTGTATGACTCGATACCACTCAAAGCCAACGCCTGGGGGGGGGGGGGGATGGGGTGTCTGCTGCCAAATTACCTGCAGCTGGGATCGAACCCCGCACCTCAAATTTACAAAGCATGTTCACAGTGCCTAAGCCACAGATACACACTATTGTTCGGTATACGCTGCTAAATTTTGCATTTACTAGTTAACCAGTGCTTTCTGAAGGGTCTGCTGTCTGTATGACTCGATACCACTCGGTTGGGGGGGGGGGGGGGAATGGGGTGTCTGCTGCCAAATTACCTGCAGCTGGGATCGAACCCCGCACCTCAAATTTACAAAGCATGTTCACAGTGGCTAAGCCACAGATACACACTATTGTTGGGTATAAATTATGTGCATTATTTCCCCCTTAGCTTCATTCCCGTGCCACTAGTGTACTGGCAGAACTGCAAGAGGAGCGGCAGATGAACATTTGTTTGAGAGATAACCAGCAGCATTGGCAGACAAGAGTCACTGCCCTTGAGGGGAAGCTAAAGGATCTGACAGAGAAGAAGGATCAGGTAAAGAAAGGCTTTTCATTTGAATAGATAATCATCAAACATCCTCAGATGCCTTGCCATAGGGCAGTTTATGCTCCTGTATATCATGCGGCCTCCAATAGCATGTATCATTTTGTATGCTTACCTCTTCTTTTAAGCCTTCTCTGGCTGTAAACTCTGGCGAAAAGTTCTAGTTTTTCCTCAGCCTTTGGGCTTCTAGTCTTGTTTCATAACCTAATTTTTCACACGCACATCCGTTTTACAGATCTGGATTATTTGTATGTGGACTGTTGGTTTCTTGCCTCTCAGGCAGATGCACTCTGACTTTGAATTTAAAACACCTAAATGGTTGCCTTTTATGACATACTTGTTAGGTTCAGTGGGTCAGTTCTTTTTTTCTTATCCACAAATGGATCCAGGGACCCAAGTACCGATTGGTCTTTAAAAATATAGGTCTAGCCCTACATTCTCAGTGCACCTAAAGTTGTGGGAAAGGGACCTTTACCTGCCACAAATATAACCGATAGCTTTCCCTTCGGGAGTAGCAGGTTTAATGTGGTCAAGTTTGTTTTTTTCATTGACGAACAAATTTCATAGAAACAAAATGATCAGATGCAAGGTTTTGGAGAGACAGAAGGAAAAAAAAAAGAGATGTTGAAAGATATTTTAATACGAGGGATAATCCATAAGTCCTTACCTTGTCTATGAAGGTGTAACCAGAAAAAAAAAACTTCCTATTTTTCTCTTCCACCTTATACCTCAGTGAAGTGTCAGGGGGAGTTGTAGCATTCGTTGATGATCTGTCAAGAGCACTATTAAGATTGATGTTCATTTCTGTAAGGCTGTTCTTAATGCAATAACTCCATACCTTCTGAGCTCTTCCACTTGTTCTATACCCGTTGTAACGTTTTGTGTGGCTCGTTGTGGCAGATAGTACCAGGGCATTCTTGTTAGGTGTCCAAACCACTTCATTTGTTATTCTTTGATGACTTGTAAGACTGGCTTTATTCCTAGCTATATTGTAACTAATTGTGAGAAGTTTGCAGTTGATCCTATGACAGATTTTCCTGTTGTGGTGCACAGCGCAGTACACCCTGCTGACCACCGCAAATGAAGCCCTCAGATGCCATAGCTGTAATAAAATTGCTAATGTTGTAGGGTAAAAAACCAACAGAAATATACAGGAAGATGGAAACAGTATTTCAGAAATCCTGTCCTGTGTATGCTTCTGTACAAATAAATATTGGTTCAGGCAGTTCAGTATGGTCGCATAAATTTTGTTTAAATACAAAGATGTGGAAGACGGCTCTCAGAGTGCACCGATGAAAGTGCAGAACAAGTGAAGAAAATTTATTGACCAAGGTTGGAAAATGACTGTTGACGGCATAGTTAAACTGAGCAAAAGTACATTTGTTATAATCTTACACAACAGACTGAACATGGGAAAAGTATGCACCAGCGCCTGCCAATATGTGAACAGAAGGAAATGAGGGTAACGTGCTGTAGACAGTTCACTTAAAAAAAGTCTGTCAAAAGATATTTCGACCACTATAGTGACAGTAAATAAAACGTGGGTTTACCATTGAGATCACCCAATCAAAAATTGCCAGCATGCACCGGAAAACTCCAGGTTCCCTAATACATTCAAAAAGCACAGAAATCTGCAGGGAAAGTTATGCTGATCATTTTGGGGGGGGGGGGGGGGGGGGGGGTGGATGGGGACACCAGATGTGTTCTCTTGATAGAATACTTACCTTGAGATGAGATTGTCAGAGGGCAGTATTATTCGCGACTCCTTACAAATCTTGGAAAAGCTTTAATAAAAAAAAATGAGGTATTACCCGCACTCAAATTCACCATGACAACACTGCTTCTCACAAAGCACGGATTGTGCAGCTAACAGCCAACAATTTCAAAATTGAAATTCTTCCTCAACAGATCTGGCTCCGTCAAGTGTTTTTTCTGTTCGCAAACCTTGAAAAACAGATAAAAGTCACACTGGCTTGTTGATTTTCAGCGATGACGCCTGGTCTCGCAGTGTGTTTAAGGAGGCAGGCACCTTATGATTTGCCAGATCAAATCGTGTGTGTTTTGCTGACTGAGGACACTTTAGATGGCTACGGCATTCGCTTGAAGTATCCAGCGTATCTGACTCAGTGACTGGAATCACTGGCATAGGGGGGTTAACAATTATGGGCCAAGCTCATTTGCTAAGATGCCGGAACCGTAACGACTAAATAACTAACTAACTTGCTTGTGATAACTGGTTTAGCCACACACAAAAAGAGGGTGTCCTATTGCCAAGGTCTTTTCAAGGTCAAGCAGAGGTGGAAGAAATGTTACAATTTGGGAGATGGCTATATTGAAAAGGGATAAACACTTTACCAAATTTCAGCTTTTTTGTTTTTGTTTTTTGGATCACTTCTTTCATAGTCAAGGTATGGAATTATGGACCACCCCCTCTGCTCTTATAAAAACTATAATAGAAAGAAAGTGGTAAGGCATATAAGCAAGCACCAAGCAATGTTACAAGTGGGAGGATAATATTGAGGGGTAGATAAACAGCAGTCTGAGATTGGGAAAGAGAAGAGAGTGTTGCAGACCCATTGCAGCCAGCTTTCTTTGTGGAGATGGCACGCAACTTTCTTTGTGGAGATGGCACGCAACTTTCTTTGTGGAGATGGCACGCAACTTTCTTTGTGGAGATGGCACGCAACTTTCTTTGTGGAGATGGCACGCAACTTTCTTTGTGCAGATGGCACGCAACTTTCTTTGTGCAGATGGCATGCAACTTTCTTTGTGCAGATGGCACGCAACTTTCTTTGTGCAGATGACACGCAACTTTCTTTGTGGAGATGGCACGCAACTTTCTTTGTGAAGATGGCACGCAACTTTCTTTGTGGAGATGGCACACAACTTTCTTTGTGGAGATGGCACGCAACTTTCTTTGTGGAGATGGCACGCAACTTTCTTTGTGGAGATGGCACGCAACTTTCTTTGTGGAGATGGCACGCAACTTTCTTTGTGGAGATGGCAGCTAACCCAATTGACTTATTGAACATTGTTTACTTGGGATATCCCAGGTAGTTAGTGCCCTTTGGATATTTTCTCCAGCTGATGCCAGTGTGTTGGGAAACGAGCAGACAGACTGGCTGGCTGGTTCTGCGCCAGCTGGTGGTGAATTCATGCGTGGCAAGCTAGAAGTTGTAAGAGTCCTCGTGGGAATGAAACAGTGCCTAGACACACATACATCACCAGAGTCTAGGAATAATGGTGCTGCGAGGAGTGACAAGGGGATCTGGCCGACGCTCAGCACTCTAGGAAAAGGTGAGATGCATTCAGACTGTTACTAGAGCAGTTGGATTTGAACGCTGTGTTTGCTGCTGAAAATGGGAACCGAGCACTTATGGAAATATCCCTAGTGCTGTAATGCTGATTCTAAATTCAACATTCAGTTTAACTAGAGACAACATTGCAGATATAGATAATCTATTTCAAGCAAACGAAAGAAGAAGAATTCAGTTTAACATGATAAAAGTTTATGTTCCTAATTGTGTATCTCTGTTTTACAGGAAATTACAGAACTGAAGGAGCAGTTACGAGATGTTATGTTTTACTTGGAAGCCCAACAAAAGCTGGCCAACAGCACTGGTGTGTCTCAGGAAGAAATACAAGGGGGTCAGGTCATCGTGGGTGCAGCAGCCGCACCATCACATTCTGGCAAGAAGTCCCGCAAGAAGAGATGAAAATTCCACAAAGAAGAAGTGTGAAACATCACACAAGATGAGGTGAAAATTCTAGAGAGAGGAAAAAAAAAGAGGTGAAACATCAAAAAATAAGCAGTGAAGCAGAGTTGCAGCCCTTCGTGGCAGACGCGTAAGGTTGAGACCATCTTAATAAATGCCTGAAGGATGGGCTATGGTTAAAAGTTATTTTTAAGTTTCCAGAATTAAAAGTGAGTTTTGATTGACTGCATAATGTATGTAACTTAAATACAACACACAGTATGGATAGCAGGCTCAACAGAAGGAAACATTGTTTGTTATTGGTTTATCTTCTTCTTCTGTGTTTGACCTTAGAAGGGCGGTTGGCATCTTATGTTGTGGTTTACAGCTAGGCTGGGATATCTGTGCCTTTCGGCCTAAATCATACAATTTCAGCAAATCCTTGCAAATTCTTAACACAGTTCCCCCCCCCCCCCCCTTTTTTCCCCCAAATGGGGCCCTGGAACGCAACCCACATATTTGTTTGTTTATGATTTCTGTTGCTTTAATCTTTGATAAAGACTTCGGCCAAAACATTCGGATCTATTTGTGAGCATCATTTTGTTCATCTGTTGAACTTCATATTCATATAATATGTTGTGTTAGGTTACTATATGTTATTGTCTAAAAGTCAGTTTTCAAGCCTTTAAAAAAAAGGTTTCCAAAACTACGGGTCGACTTATTTGGCAAGTATAAAGTGTGTTAGGTATAGGCCTAACTCAGGAATTGTGAGGTTGACTTGTATGCCAGTTTGTGGTATGTCTTGATGTCAGTTTGACAGGCCAGCTGAGTCACTTTTGCTTCATCGTCATCTTCAGTCATTCAGTACCAGAATGTTTCATAGAAGATATCAAAGTAAAGAATAAAGGAGCCTTTTCCACACCTTCAGGCGTGTTGGGCATATAGGGCTAGACCTATATTTTATAGACCAACTAGCACTTGGTGGGTGATATGGTCAGCATCACGCCAGCCGCCTATACTTGCAAGGACTTGTGCCTGGTATCCCCTCGAGGCTGGGTCGTTTTTGAAAAAAGTCCGCTCCGACAGGATTCGAACCTACGACTCTAAAACATCTAGCTGCTACGCCACAGCTGCTTCCAAAGTGAAAAGTAATCATGAAAAAAAAAAGTATCAGTATTCACAGCTATAGTGACCATTAAGAGAAGTCAGATATTCTTCTTCCTGTTCACCGGCTGTAAACTCCGGCGGGAAGTTCTGGTTGTTTATCCACCTCTGGACTTTAGTCTTGTTGCAGAACCTGAGTGTTGTGTGCACATCTGTTTTACAGATTTGACTTATTTGTGTGCAGACTGTTTGTTCCTTGCCTCTCATGCAAATGCACTCTGACTTTGAAGGAAACCCCCGGTTTGTCGACTCTTACGACATGCTTGCTGGGAAGGCAGTGGATATATTCTTGTTTTCCCTATAATGGGGCACCGAAACCAACATGAGGAAAGTCAGATACTGTTGTTGTTGTTTTTTTTAAATTAATATTCTGGCCAAATGTTAAAAGTAAGAGCACATTATATTTTCGAGGAAAATCAAGAGATAGAGTAACTCACACCCCAGGCGTTCCTTGGGACTGAAAGACTCACACGCCAGGCGTTCCTTGGGACTGAAAGACTCACACCCCAGGCGTTCCTTGGGACTAAAAGACTCACACCCCAGGCGTTCCTTGGGACTGAAAGACTCACATTCCAGGCGTTCCTTGGGACTGAAAGACTCACACCCCAGGCGTTCCTTGGGACTGAAAGAGTCGGTCACCTCATGCCATAGAGCAGGGTTATTCAACTGGTGGCTCGCTGGCCAAATCTGGCCTGTGGAGGCCTCGCAGGTGGCCTGCGGATCATTACCAATTGTATTAACGCTTTTCTATGCTAGGGCTCTGGCCTGAAGTAATCCTCATTTTCAAATTGTTGGCCCCAGAGTTGAATAGCCCTGCCTTAGAGATACATGCATAGTGATACAGTTGTTGTTTCCAGGCTAAGGCTTTTGCTGGGTGATACATCTGGCTTGTTTGTGATGTTTTCTGTGATTGATATTTTGCTGAGACCTGTTCAGGTCCACCTGGTTCCATGCTGTATTTCGGGAGAGAATCTCTTGTCGTCTGCTGCTTCTTCTTTGCATTCCCCGGTTGTAAATTCTGGCGGAAAGTTGTGGTTGTTCATCCACTTCTGGATTTTAGGTCTTGTTTCAGAACTTGAGTTTAATGTGCACATTGGTTTTACAGCCTCATTTCTCAGACAGATGCACTCTTGACTTCGAAGGAAACATCCTTAATTAGTCTACTTTTTTGGCATGCTTGTTGGGTGGGGAGTGGGCATAGACCTATTCCCCCTCCCCCTTTTTCCCTGCGCAAAGGCCTCCTGGGAACCCACATAGGGAAATCTGTTGTCTGATAGATTGAACAGGTTTCTGCACACACAATTTGTTAAAACTGGCACAGTACAGTAATAAACCTGTGAACTACAGAGTTAGTATGAACACAGTTGAATAAATCTAAACATAAAAGAATAAATATGCACACAACATAAACAAATTTGTACACTGAATAAATCTGAACACAGCAGGATAAATCTGTACAGTAAAGTAAAGATCTATTTTCCATGCCTTTAGGCGTATTGAGAATAAAGGGCTAGATCTATATTTCATAGACTAATCGGCATTTGGTGGATGATGTGGTCAGCATCACGCCAGCCGCCTTTACTTCCCAGGACTTCACATGGTACCCACTCAAGGCTGGGGATCAAGGTCATTTTTGAACAAAAGTCCGGCTCCCTCAGGATGCGAACCCACGACCTTCCGATCTGTGGGTGGGAATCTAGCTGCCAGTGCCACAGCGACTCCCAAATAAATCTATTCACAACAAATTAATATGTACACACCCTATTAGATTTGTAAATAATATAGTAATTTGGTACATGACATTATAAATATATACGCAACTTGAAATGTTTTAAATTTTCTAAATCATATCCTTTTGCCATAATCAGCGGCTGACTGCAGTGAATCTGCAAGAAACGATCTGTCTCCTGTCCTGCTTGTACACTCTTTTGAACAGATGTTTGTCCATCTCTTTCTGTTATCTTGCCACTTGTTTCACTGTCTATCTCTTGCTTGTGTGCCTTTAAGTTTTCCCCACAGTATGGTTTTCACAAGAGTTGTCTTTTTAGCACCAGAAGATTTTGTTTTGAATACTTAAGGAGATCAGACACAGCGAAACAAGCATGAATGTATTACTTATATTGAGACAGTGTATGCTTTGCAGCATGTTAGCATATCTTGCCAGATTTCTTTAGCATGCTCAAACCAAATGTATAATTACGCATCATTCATTTTTGAAACATACTGATTATGGTTGATCACACACTGTACATTGTTTAACACAGAAAGATTTAGTGTAATCAAAATATTTCTTGTCTTTTTTTTTTTTTTTAAATAGCTCTCTTTTCATTCCCAATCTCTGTAGAACCTTTGCATTTGATTGTTTTATACATATATTTAGACATTCTTCTGCTTTTCAGGTGTCTATTGTCAGAATGCACCTTTTATTTAAAAAAAAATTGAGATGAATTTTTCATTATTGGTTTCTTGTTTACTTTAGTACCTCTAAGGACCCTTTTCTAGGCCATCAGAGATGAAGCCCTATTACAGGTTTTCTAAAACAGTCTTAGGACGAATCTTTGGACCCATCAAAGATAGAAACAGCGGGGAATGGAGAGTGAAAAGCAACAACAAACTTCATAATCTGTTTAAATCACCACTGATCACCGGCATCATGAGAGCTAATAGACTTAAATGGTTGGGGCATATTAATAGAATGTCAGATGACAGAGAAGTAAAAACTGCTTACACAGGGGAGATAATTGGTTGTAGACCACGAGGCAGACCAAAAAGATGATGGAGAGATAACGTCCAGACAGACCAGCAAACACTTGGTGTCACCAACTAGAAAGAGAAGGCCAGGCAGAGAGATGAATGGAGGCGGGTTATATCTGCAGCAATGAACCTCAAGGGCTCAAAATGCTGAAGAAGAAGTGAATGGGTGGTGTTGAATTTATTCTAATTTTTCTTTTGTCGTATTGTTTATGCCAGGGCTATTCAACTGGATGGCCCGGAGACCAGATCTTGCCCACAGAAGCAAATGACCCGCAGATCATTGCCAGTTGTACTATATTAATGATCTGTCTATGCTGGGGCTTGAGTCTCTGGCCCATGGCGATACCCGTTTTTTAAATATAAGCCCCTGAAAAAATTTAGTTTAATTACGGCTTATGCCGTAACGCATCACAGTGAAGAGTTAGATGTTGTTTCCTGTCTTGCTATTTGCCTGGCTTGTGCTCTAATGTCATATTTAATTTCTGTAATGTAAATTTTACTCGCTCCACCCATCTCTTTCGTGGTCAGCCTTTGCCTTTTAGCCTGCAATTCTCATGTAGTACAGTCTAGTTGTTGGTTGATCTTGTTCCATTCTGACCAGATTTCCAAACCATATGATTCTTTAGTGTTCTGTAAAATCATTTACCGGTTCTGTGCCTATCATTGTTCTTAGTTCTTTGTTGGTGACATTGACTCCTCTTGTTTTTCCTGCTGCATTTCGTCTAACATGCTGTAATTTTGCATTTGTTTGTCTAGTTTTCTGTATAAAAACCTGATGTGTAATGAATTTTAAACTGTGATTGTATTACTTTTTAACTTCCCTGAGTCTATAAGTGTGTCATTATATTGGCTGTTTCAGCAAGCTTGAATTTGTGTTGTTAACCCAGATGTAACTCTTTGAGTCCCAGAGGGTTTAGCATCCCAGGCCCAAGGGGCAATCAAGAGAGACGTAAAATTGGCGCATCATGCGTTCATTGGGCTTTTAGACAGTAACCTATGAACATATGATGCGTTCCTTGGGACTCAAAGAGTTAAACTATTATTATTACTTGTTATTTTATTTCATGAATGGAAACAAAAACACTTCAGTGATGATCTTGTAA